AATAAGCAGGGAGGAAATGGAGACGAGGGAGGTGGGGGACAATGTTGTTTGAGTTCACTGAAGTCTCGGCAACAGACAATTTAGGGCATATGTCCTGTTTCTGCACTGTCGGATGGGGATTGACACTTGCTGCACTGAATGGAGCAGACAGTGTTGGAATAAATCAGAAATGCCATCAGGAGTGTCACTAAAAAGTTCAGTCGTACTTATATTTTCAACATATTTTTGATTTTTTTTTCATTTTGGTAATAATGTGTCTGGAGGATGTCGGCCTCCAGAGGACCTGGATGTCTGAGCAAATTTCACCATTAATGTGTGAACATACGTATTAGGAGCAGGATTAGCCACTCGGTCCGTAGAGCCTGATACCCTATTCAATAAGATTATGGCTACTACTCTACATTCCTGCAGCACCCCCGTCCCCCCCAGTATTTCGGGCAGACATTGTAAAGACAGTGAGCAGTTGGAAAGCAGATGTTGTGTTCGCATTTACTTGAATTGGATTGGAATATCAGATGCGAAAAGGTCTGTACTCTTATGGGTGAGACCAGGAAAAATAGCACTGTTTTTAAAATTAGGGATAGCCCTTTTAGAGCTGAGATGATGAGATGAACTTTTACTCTCGGATCATTGTGTGACTCTGCCTCAGAAGGTGAAGATATATGAATGTAAGAACTAGAGTAGGCCACTCAGCCCTTTGACCCCGTTCCACCATTCTGGCATGATTTTAACCTCCACTTTACACTCCTGTGTATCACCGATTAATCTTTCATTCCCTTAGATCTATCTACCACTACCTTTAAAAATATTGAAATATCGTGTATCCACTGCTTTTTGAGGAAGGGAATTCTGAGAAAAGATGTTTCCTCATATCTGTTTAAAATGGGTGAGCCTTATATTAACCACAAGAGGAAATAGCCTTTCCACCCAGTCAAGTGGTTGAATATTTTTGAGGCATGGGTAGATTTTTTTATTTGATGAGTAAAGGAATTAAGGGTCATCATGGGTAGATGGGAATGAAGAATTCAAAACGTAAAGATCTCATTGAATGGCGGAGTAGGTTTAAAGGGCTGGTCTATTTCTCCTATTTTGTACATTCGTAAGGGATTTAAGACACCTCACTACAGTACCGAGTGGAGTCCTATGTCCAGTTTTGGCCTCCTTACCTGAGGAACGATGTACGTGGCCCCAAATGAACGTGGGTTGCTGGTTTATGGGGATTGTCCTATGAGTCAGCTAGGCCTGTATTTCCTGGTGTTTCAAAGAATGAGAGATGATCTAATTAAATTGTGAACTTCTTGCGAGGCTGGACAGAGTAGATGCTGAGAAAGCATCCCCTCTGGCTGGGGAATCGATAACGTGGGGTCACTGCCTCAGACAAAGAGGTGGACATTTAGGCTTGAGCTGTGGAGAAATGCCTTCACTGAAAGAGTTGTGAATCTTTGGAAACCTCAAATGCAGAGGGTTGTATGTACGCTGTGTACAGTTTGGAGAGATCGTAATTGGCTTTTGGGTTTTAAGGGAAATATTTACATTATGGGCAAATCAAGTCAATGTTGAAATTAGCCATGATCTTAATGATAGATGGCTCTAAGGACTGATCTAGTCTGATTACAACCTTAATCCCACTTTCCTGTCTGCCCTTTCAAGTCTCTTGTAAATCAAAGCTCTATCCAACTCAGCCTTGAGTACATTTAATGACCCAATGTTCCCTGCTCTCTTGGGAAGAGAATTCCACACACCACCAACCCTCTGAGTGAAGGAGGAGCAGGATGGGACATCATCTCTGCCTCCATAGTCAGAACCCCTCAGGATCATGTGTGTTTCAGTAAGATCACCTTTCTCTCTTCTAAACTCCAATGGGTACTGGCCCAACTTGTTAAGTCTCTCCTTTTGTGAGAGAAACCCTATCTCCCAGGAGTCAGCCAAGCGAACCTTCCCTGAAAGGCCTTCTATGTGGGTCTGTCCATCCTTTAGCAAAATGTGCAGCACTGTACACAGTCCTCTTGATGTGGTATCACCAAAGTCCTGTACAGCTGTAGCTGGGTGTCCATCTCCTCACAATCGAGCACCTTCCACTTGCCTTTCTAAATACTTGCTGTACCTGCAGGTTTTGTGATTGTGCTGGACTGGAGTCTATCTCCATTTAAATGATGTTCTGCTTTTCCATTCTTCCTCCCAACCCTCACATTTTCCCACTTTTTATGCCACTTCTGCTACTCTTTTGCTTCCTCATTCAACCTGTCCAGATCCCTTTGTATCTCTTTGTATCCTCCTTGTTTTCCTACCTACCTTCACATCCTTAAGCAGATTTGACCACAATACAGTCAGTCCCTTCATCCAAGTGATAAACCTCAAGTTGTATTCACCTTCCATCTAGAAGGACAAGGGCAGCAGATATATGGGAACACCACCAGTTCCAAGTTCCCCTCCAAGTCACTCACTGTCCTGACTTGGAAATATATCGGCATTCCTTCACTGTCGCTGGGTCAAAATCCTGGAATTCCCTCCCTAACAGCAGTGTGGGTCAACCCACAGCAGGAGGAATGCAGCGGTTCAAGAAGGCAGCTCACCACCACCTTCTCAAGGGCAACCAAGTATGTTCAAGAAATGCTGGCCAGCTATCAATGCCCACATCCCACAAAATGAGTAGAAAAAATACATAAATTGTAAATAGTTGAGGCACCAGTGCTGATTCCTCTGGCACTCCTCTAGTTACACATTTGCCAATCCCCAATTTATCCCAACTTTTGATTAAGCCATCCTCTATACATGTTAATATATTCCCCCAAAACCTTGAAGTCTTATGTAGCTCCAATTTTTTTCCAAGATGGTGGCAGAGTAGGACGACTCAGCCGGAGCTCATCTGCTCCATCCTTTTTCTTTTAGCTTTTTCTCGCTCTTTTTGTTTTTTTATCTTACCTCCTGCCCTAGAGCCTCAAGTGAAGTCAGCACAGACTCCTGGCCTTGAGGTAAAGCCCAGCATGGCCTGGAGGCTAGGTTCTGCCGCAGACTGGGTTGGAAGGACTGTTATTCCAAACTTTTTACTTCTTTATTTTTCTAATTTATTCCTATGATTTTGTACCCAAGATGGCACGTAGGTCTGTAATGCTGCACTTTTTATTTCTTTAGTTTATTCTTTATTTCTGTTTTTTTTTCCCCGAGGACATGTACTTAAGAATCTGTACCTAAAGTGGTGCTGTAACTGGCAACTTGTAAATGTTTTGCTGTACTCATGAGTATCTGTGACAAAGCTAATTCTAATTCTAGTTTCCTGTCTAAAGTACCTTATCATATGTCTGTTAGCACTCTCAACTGAGGAGCAGGAAAGAGAATCAAAGTACAAGAGACTTTTTTTTTGTCAATTGCAGACGTTCGGACCATTCTGGTGTTTACTGACACCTTCCATAGAAACGAGGCAATTGTGTCCATCCCAGTGCCTCAGTTCAGCAAATATTATAACCTCAATCAGGTTTTCACCATACAAATGGCATTGATTCAACAAGTTGTATTAAACTCTCGGCCACGTGAGTACCATTTGAGTACCGTGTTTATTTACTTCCCTGATAGCAATTTTAAAACATTTTAAAATATAAGTGATTTTTATCCAGGAATTAAACAAGAGGAGACTCAGCCAAACTAAAAGCTTGGTCAAAGTGGTAGGTATTTAAGGTATGGTGTGTATGTGCCTTTGAATTGCAAGATGGCCAACAAAGATGGGCACTGGACGGTAATAACATCCCACTGCCGTGACAAAGCTTTCTGACTGCTGCCCGTAACTAATTGGGGAGGGGGAGACATTGCCCTCTTCCCCCTTGTTGCTTGGCTACATCACCCCCTCTTTCCCCCCCCACCGCCTCCCCTGCCGCCCCTTGTTTTCATCACTAGCCACTTTGGACTGAGCACATCAGCCACTGTGCCACCTAGTGGTGACATCGGTAATATAAACCTGGCCATTTGGGAAGATCTCAAAGGGGGAGAAAGCTGGTGGAATTTAAATTCAATTCATAAAACACAATGTGCAATTGAAAGTCACCCTCTGTAATGGACGCCATGAAACTATCATTATTTTAAAAACGCACCTGGTTCACTAATGTACTTCAGGGAAGAAAATCTGTCATCCTTACCTGTTTTGGCCTACGTGTGACCCCAGACCCACAGAAATGTGGCTGACTCTTAGCTGCCCTCTGAAATGGGCGAGCAAGCCACTGAGTTCAAGGGCCAATTAGGCATGCCTTGCGAGCAATCCCACATACCATGGAAGAGTTTTTAAGGAAGTGGATATAATAGATCATTCAGAGTGAAGCATTGGGAGATTTGTGGGAGCAAGAAGGAAATCTCCCTTTGTGTTCTGGCCAATATTTGTCCCTCAGTCAAAATCTGGAGAATAGATTATCAGATCACTGTTAACTTGCTGTTCGTGGGAGCTTTCTGTGCACAAATGGTCTGCCACATGTACCACATTCTCGTAGTACCTACATGATCAAATGTGCTTACTCATAAAGCATGTTGAAACTGTCTTGAGGCTTGTGAAAGGTGCTACATGAATGAAAGTTTTTAATCCAGTAACCTATTTATGCAAAAGACAAAGTCGTCATAATCTTCCAGACCATTCGGCTGCTGTCTCATTAGAGACAGACAACTGATGATGGTTTAATCTGAGGGTCGCCATGCCTTAGACGAGGGGAGAAGCTGAGAAGGAGAGTCCTTCATTGTAACTTCAGCCGGTGCTGGAATTGAACCTGTGCTGTTGGAGTCACTCTGTATTGCAAACCAGCCATCCAGCCAAATGAGGTAACCAACTCTGAGAGTAATTTGGTCACGCTACTTCTTCATCTAATCACCCCTCTGTTTGGAATTCTGTGTTGCGGTATTTTGTGTGGTTAGCTGTGACCTTGCATTCAGGTTTCTGACTACATAGCAGCTCTTCTTCCTGGTCTGTGCTATTCTAGCTCATTCTTGCCAGCCCTGCTGTATGCTGGTTAATTTGGTTAAGCCAGAGCTATATTATTGTGTTGTGCCGAACATGGTCTTCCAACCCTGGACAGACTGCACTAACCCTTCAATGCTCCAGTCAGATCAGAATATCAAACTGAAAACCTGTATGAGGGTGCCATTGCTGATACCTCAGGCACTCAGTGCATTCAGCATCAATCCTGACCTGAAGTCCTGGGCCATTTCTTGTATGCCCCCACCCCCCATCAACTACCCTGCACATGTGTATATCAGAGCAATTTGTGCTGAAAATTGTGGTGCATTTTTGTGCAGAAGGGCTGGAACTGGTAGCTTTCCTTCACTGCACCTATTTGCATTCTCACTGCTACTGTTGCTTCCACCTAACCTGAAGGTAAGTGTTTACTTACCCTCCATTATCTTATCCATAGGCCTACTTCATGAGGGAGCATCATAAGGCAAACCCACAGTCATCCAGGAAACAGTCCCGGAAAGGCAGAGGGGGGTGCAGTCATTTGCAGTCAGGAAGTGGAGATTTCAATTTGTAACCTAGGCTTTGTATCCCCAATGCCAGCTGAACACAGGCTGTGCACAGGGAGTCCTCACTTAAAGTTGTGGTTTCATTCCTGAGAGTTGCAACTTTAAGTGAGTCATCAATGTGTTAGGTTTTGGGCAACCTTCCTTTTAAAACCATTACAACTTCATAATCTGTAAGATGAAATACTTTACATTGCTAAACCCTCACATCACTAAGTGAAGTCACTTTTAAAATAAAACACATCTAAAAAATTTGAAATAAAAATGTGACTTCTTGCTTGCAGTACCTCCTGCTTGCACATTCACAATCCTAGAACTCCTGGGGAAATAGCAAACCAAACTTTTAAAAGTGCTTCTCGCACAGAATTTGTCAAATGCCACATCTCCTTTCTTCTCCAATGCTATTCTCCTCTCCCCTGTCCCATTCACTAGGCAGTAGCTACCCTTTCAGCCAATGTACTGTTATTTGGTGTAACCTGTCCTCTTCCATTCCTTTTTAGAAACTCTAGGAATACTGAGGTTATTTATAATCAATGATCTTCTATGAAAATGACTTCTGAAGCTGATCTTGCCTCTGCTGTCCCCATATCCCAGCATCAGAGCAGATTGGGGAGAGGCTGCAAGTTGGGATGGGCTTCAAGTCAGAGAGCTGGAGGGGCTGTAGGTCATGCAGGAAACAATGAGATGATCCTTGCTGCACTCAACTAGAACACTCGCCCTGTGAACTTACTGGAGTTAAAGTGAAGCGACGTTAAATGTGAGATTGGGATTGTTAAATTGTCGCGGTAAGAGACATGCTCGTGATAATCAACACCACATCATAGCACGTGACCTGCAGATAGAAAGATCTCTGATCTTACCTTGGATCACTGGAAGCTGGACACTGTTGTAGCTTAATATTAGCCAAGACAATTGCATGTCTGAGGAATATAATGTTTTACCCAGATGCCAGTCGTCAGAAATATTGCGTTTGTTCATTTGCTCACTGAGCCAGTTGTTCTGTGGTGTGCAGACATTTCGTTACCGTTCTAGGCAACGTCATCAGTGCAACCTCTAATTGAAGCATTGCTGTTCTGCTCCATTCTGCATTTATATGATCCTTTGGTATGGTGGGTCTTGTCACTTCCAGTCCTGTTTTTCAGCAGCAGTCTGTATAACGGGGTTTATTTCTGTGTTTGTTAATGGAGTCCCATGTTGAGAACCAGGCCTCCAGAAATTCCCTTGCATGTCTGGTGTTTGCTTGTCCCAGTCGAACTGATGGCCTTCATAGTCTGTGTGTATCGAGACAAGTGAATATTGGTGTGTCTTTTTACTGCCAGCTGGAGTTTGTGTGTCTGGTCATCGGTTTCCTCCCCATTTGTCCAACATAATGTCTATTGCATTCACTGCACGGGATTCTGTATATCACGTTACTCCTGTTTACTGTCAATATGGGGTCTTTAGTCTTTGATGGCATTTGACGCAGCGTTGATGTAGGTTTGTGTGCAATCATGATACTATGCAGTTCCAGACTCCTTAGACCGCATAGGATCATGACCGCATACTTAGTAACGGTAATGAAATGTCTGCACACCACAGAACAACCAGCTCGGTGAGCAAACAAACAACCACATCCACACCCCAAGCTAAAAATTTTCGCTAAGATGTTAGAAGTATTGTCACCCCTCACTGGGGCATGTGCACTGGAAATCGAGCCCTGCTATTCCTGGAGTCCTCACAAAAGTTAAGGATTTTTAAAAGTACACAGAATTCCCCAATTTCTGTCTTTTAGACCCAGGTTGACAGAGAACATGGACCAGGTTTCCTTGCCAAACAAGAATAACTATACAAATAAACTGATTCTAACTCCAGATAAACAATTATGAACTATTGATATGTAATTTTACTTGTTAAAACTCTAGCCCACTTGTAAAGTCCTCCCTCAACACGTGCATGTAGACGGACCAAAAGTACATGGATGTCATGGGTAGAGGGGAAGATTGGGAAGGCAGTTCACTGGCCCTTGTTCACAGGGTTTGCTGAGATGATCCTTTTGCTGTTCAGAATGCTGCTTCTCAGTCTTCCTTCTCAAGGTATCTTGACTTGTTTGTAGAATGCTCAGGGTGACTGGTTCATTCTTAGAAAAGCCTCTGATTTAGTACTTTTAAAAAACTCACAGCTTACAGCAACAGATGCGGGGAAATAAACTGGCTGTCTTTGGGTTAGAGTTGCTTCTTATTACAGAGCAAAAACAAGCTATCCCCTTTCAAAGGACCATTGGGTTCTGTCCTGAACATTCACATCCCCTGCTAACTAAAAACTGAAAGAAATGCGGATGCTGTAAATCAGGAACAAAAACAAAGTTGCTGGGAAAGCTCAGCAGGTCTGGCAGCATCTGTGAATGAAAAAAAGAGTTAACTTTTTGGGTCTGGTGAGGACCCTTCTGAGCAAAACCGAGTTGCTTTTCCAGCAACTTTGTTTTTATTCACATCCCCTGTTCAGCTACTTAGGAGTCAGTCTCATGGTTATTGATGGGCAAGGAGGCCTTTGTCATTGTCACTATTTCACAGACCAATCAGCTACTCGTTGCCAGCCAAACCTCCATTTTTTGTGTCAGCCCCTGGGTCCAGCTTGTCTATAATTAGGTTTTCCCCACTGAACAAGCAGCTGTGTAAACAGTACTTATAATGGGTAACTTTTTTAAAAAGTGCAGTAATCCTACAACAATGCTTTTAAAACTATATTCTTGTTCCCATTTCACACTATAATCAAAAATATAGGAAAATAGGAAGTTAGTCTTTACAATCTCTATATTCTCCAATACCACAAGCTGCTGCGTGACTCTATGAATATCCACACCCACTTTATGTTCACATTAATCTCACCACGTTAGGTAAAACATCCTGTGTTAGTAACCTCGCATCAAGCATAAGTTGAGACTGATGTACTCTCTTAAGGGGGGAAAAAAACTCTCTTCTCAGGATCAAGACTGCACTAACAAGGCTAGCATTTGTTGCTCATCCGCATGTGTCCAGACTGGATAAGTACAATAGAATTTCCTTCATAAGGAGACATTACTAAAGCACTGGGTTTTTACGGGAGTCAAAATCCACTTTTACAGATGTTTTTTTTTAGAAAGGTCAAACAATTCAAATTCTCAGACTGCTGTAATTGAATGTGTGTTCCATGGATTATTAATCTGGTAAACCCTGCGATCTATGGCTCTATGTCAGGGTATCCTGCACCTGGATTGATCTCAGGAAAAGGGGTAATTGTGTCTCCTTTCACTCCTCCTGTCCTTAGGGAAAAATGGGGAGCCAGTTGCTGAGAATTTTAGGATGGAAGAGAGCTACCTGCCTCAAGATTTGCAAGAGGGGCAAGTGAAGGTTTGCACCAAATTCCTGTCTGTGGATCCTTACATGGTAAGTACATATTCCTTTCGGGTTGTTTGGCTGCAACATTTACCTGGACATTTTTTTTTGGTTGTAATGTCAACCTTTAGACAACTAACAATGTTAACTATCTCATTAGGAATCCTTTATCAACGAGGCAGTGGGAGCGAGGAGAAAAATTCAAGTTTGCTTTTCATACGCAGTGTATTCTGCTTGTAAAACTTCATGTACAAATAACGGCAGAGGCTGTAATGTCCAATCAGTTGTAACCAGTACACTACATAAAAGCAGAGTTTAAAAGCCTATTGCTGTAGAGATGGCATCAGATATGTTGTTGAGATCAGCACTCAGATTGCAATCTCTTGATGACCCATTATCCTGAGCGACTCTGCAAAGATGATTCTACATTTTATTGGCTTCACTGCATTAACTAACATCTCCAACAATAATCTAGTCATCTCTCCTTGACAGTGTTACCATCACTGATTTCCCCCACTATCAATATCCTGAAGGGTTACCATTGGCCAGAAACTCCACTGAATTAGCCATACAAATACTATGGCTACAAGAGTGGGTCAGAGGCTAGGAATCCTATAATGAGTAACTCGCCGCCTGAAGCTTGTTGCATATGCTTCAGCCTTATCTTTTGCACACTCCCATCATTCAGGATGGGGATATTTTGTAGAGCTTTCTGCTCCTGGTTAATAGGCTGCTACCATTCACTGACAGGACTGCAGAGCTAAGATCTGATCCATTGGTTGTGAGATTGCTTAGGTCCGTCTATCTCGTTGCTTATGCTGTTTGACATGCAAGTGGTCCTATTTAGCGGCTTTACTAGGTGGTTACCCTATTCTGAGGTGTGCCTGGTGCTGTTCTCCTGTGCTTTCCACTGAACCAGTGTTGACCCCTGGCTTGATGGTAATAGTTGAGTGAGGGATATACTGTGCCAAGAGGTTACAGGTTGTGTTGGGGTACAGTTCTGTTGCTGTTGATGGCCCACAGCACCTCATACTTGGATTGTTCAATCTGTTCAAAGTCTGTCCCATTTCGCACAGCGATAGTTCCACACGATGGAGGGTATTCTCAATGTGAAGGCGGGATTTTGTCTCCACAAAGTCACTCTTACCGGTACTGTCATGGACAGATGCATCTGCAGCCGGCAGATTGGTAAGGAAGAGGTCAAGTATGTTTTTCCCTCGTCAGTTCCCTCACTACCTGCCACAGACCCAGTCGAGCAGCTATGTCCTTTAGGACCTGACCAGCTCGATCTGTAGTACTGCTGCTGAGCCACTCTTGGTGGTGGACGTTAGTGTTCAGCCCGAGAGTACATCCTTCTTCCATCCAAGTTTTAGGAGTGGGACTTGAACTGTCAACTTGCTAACTCAGAGGTGAAAGTGATACCAGTAGAACCACAATTGACGTTCGATCCTTGCTTCCTTCCACCCTGCTAAATGGTGTTTAGTACAAGAGGATTTGTTGCTGTTTATATATTCTGCTTTGTGCAGCTCAGCTGTCATGATTCTTACGTTACAAATGCGGCTGTGGTTTCAACAATAAAGCACTTTGAGATGCTGTGGAGAGGCGATCTGCTTTTTAGGTGCTGAATTAATCCTTTAAAGTAGTTGTCATGGGATCTTTTACATCCAACCGCGGGGGGCAGATAGAGAAGATAGAAACATAGAACAGTACTACACAGGAACGAGCCCTTCAGCCCACCATGTTCGTGTCAACCATGATGCTATTCCAAACTAATCCCATCTGCTTGCATGTGGTCTGTATCCGTCTATTCTCTGCCTCTTCATGTGTCTGTCTAAGTGACACTTAAACATTGCTATCGTATCTGCTTCTACCACCTCCTTCGGCAGCTGATCCAGGCACCTGGCTGCTTTTCTTTTCAGAAGAAACTTGCCTCGCACATTCTGTTTATGCTTGTCCACCCCCCCACCCTTTACCTTATACCAGTATTGGTCATTTCCACCTGGGAAAATGACTTTTCACCAGATCCATGCCTCTCGTAATTTTATATACTTGGATCAGGAAGAGCCTTAGTTTATCATCACATCTGAAGGTGCTGCACTCCCTCAGTACTGAACTGTAGGAGTCATTGGGGCATCCTAAGGCCATAGAAAAAGCACTGACTGCTCTTATTTACCAATGATGCAAATCAGGAGAAATTTCTTATCTGTGGTGGGGAAAATAACGTTAATGTGAAAGCTAGGGACGAGGTCAGGGTGCAGTTTCATACAGATTGCAGTGGGAAAGCCGAATTTATTCATCAGGACAAAGTTGCTAAAGACAATGGAGCCACGCTCATAACTGAAGTCAATTTGATTTTGGTTAGGGAAGGGTTACAGAACCAAGCTACTAAAGGACAGCTCAACGTTATCCCATTGAGCTGGATGGCATGCTCTTGTTCTCCGTCCCGTGTACTTCTCATTATTCAAATCTTATTGAGCTGTTCTTGAGTTGAGTAGCGTCCTGGGGTTTAACATTTGGCTTTGATTTGATCTTGGCAGCGATGCAGGATGAATGAAGACACTGGTGCAGATTATCTGCCTCCATGGCAAGTGTCGAGTGTGGTGACTGGTGGAGGATTGGGTCTGGTTGAAGACAGTAAACATCAGAACTTTCAGAAATGCGACGTCGTGACTTCATTCAACTGGCCCTGGCAGACACGAGCTGTTGTGGACGGGGCTGTCCTGACTAAGGTAGAATGTTATTGCACCACGTTCCTTCCCAAAGTTCAAAACCATTGCAGTGCTACCCTCGATCACTTCCCTCACACCTACTTCAAAATGTTACTTATCTTCCAGGGGTGGAGGTAACCCCAGGTAATACCTGGGGGGCCAGTAATCTAAGAGGCCCAGGTCTGTCTATGCTCTGGGGATATGGGTTCAAATCCCATCACGACAACTCATGGAAAAGAAATTCAACTCCGTAATTGAGAATATAAAGTTGGTCTCAGTGATGGTAACCGTGAAATTATCACCCGTTGTAAAAATCCATCTGGTTCACTAATGTCATTTTTTTTAGGGAAGGAAATCTGCCATCAATACCTGGTCTGGCTTATAATTTTTTTTAAATTCACTGGTGGGGCATGGGCTTCGCTAGCTGGCCAGCATTTATTGCCCGTGCCTAGTTGCCCCTTGAGAAGGTAGTGGTGGGCTGCAGTCCGTGTAGGTTAACCCACAGCACTCTCCTCCAATGGGGAGGGAGTTCCAGGATTTAGACACAGCAACACTGAAGGAATATATTTCTAAGTAAGGGTGGTGAGTGCTTGAAGGGAATCTTGCAGGAAGTGGTGCCCCGGTGTATCTGCTGCCCTTGTCCTTCTTGTAGGAAGTGGCCATGGGTTTGGAAGGTGCCGCCTGAAGGTAACTCCAAAACCATTGCAATGTGGTTGACACTTAACTACCTGCTGAAATTGCCCTCATACTGTGTGGCTTGAGAGGCTGTTGGAGATGGGCAGCAAATGTTGGCCTTGCCAGTATCGCCCAAATCCTATGAATCCTATGAATTATAAGTAAACATGCAGTATGTGTTTCTGTAGCATTCTGCGTATAATTTTTATCTAAAATTGTTTCCGAGACTGCATATTCGGGCATTTTGTATTGTGATAAATTCTTCTTCTGGTTGTTGCTGAGGAAGAGTATGTATTCTCATCAGATGCAGAGAAGACAAAGGGGAGGCAATGGCCTAGTGTTATTATCGCTGGACTGTTAATCCAGAGAGATAATGTTCTGGGGACCTGGGTTCGAATCCGCCACGGCAGTTGGTAGAATTTGAGTTCAGTAAATATCTGGAATTAACAATCTAATGATGACCACGAGTCCATTGTCGATTGTTGGAAAAACCCATCTAGTTCACTAATGTTCTTTAGGGAAGGAAACTGGTATCCTTACCTGGTCTGGCCTACATGTGACTCCAGACCCACAGCAATGTGGTTGACTCTTAACTGCCCTCTGGGCAATAAATGCTGCCTGGCCAGCGACGCCCTCATCCCGTGAATGAATTTTTTTATAAAAAGGTAATTTTTCAAATGGAGAGAAACTGAGCCAGTTACAAAAGCTAAACCAAAAATGTCCAGAATGTTGGTCTGTATCAAGAGGGGCTGGAATTCAAGATTGAGAAGGTTGTGTTTCAGTTGTCAAGGTATTTGGTCAGACTCCATCTGCAGTAACTGAGTCCAAAATTTGCACACTGAACTTCAGAAGGAAGTATTGACCTTGGACAGCGTAACAGATATTCACCAGAGCCTTCACAGGGTTTAAACTTAAATTACATGGAGAGGTTACATAGACTAGTCTTGTAGTATTTTAAGTATTGGATGTGAAGGGATAATCTAATTGAGATTATTAAAGGATTTAATAGAGCATGTACTTTGAAAAAACATTTTCTCTGAAGGGGAGGGTCCAGAAGAAGGCGTTATAACTTACAACAAAATCACAAAAAAGGTTATAACTTACAACAAGACCATTTGGGATTGATGGCTGGAGCATCCTCTTTGCTGAGTAGCTAGGGGCAGCAGGAGACTCTCGGAATCCCTCCAGTGTGACAGAAGGCTATTCGGCCCATCGAATGCACCGTGACCTTCAGACTCTCTCACCTCACCACCCTGTCCCTGTAACTCTGCATTTCCCATGGCTAACCCACTTAGCCTGCACATTCCTGGATACCATGGGGTAATTTAGCATGGCCAATCTATCTAACCTGCACATCTTTCGGACTGTGGGAGGAAACCGGAGCACCTGGAGGACACCCACATAGACACAGGGAGAACGCCCAAACTCCACACTGACAGTCACCTGAGGGTGGAATCAAACCCGTGTCTCAGGCGCTGAGGCCGCAGTACTAACCACTGAGCCACCGTGCTGCCCCATGACTCCCTGACCAAAAGGTGTGTCAAGAATCCAGTGCAAATGTTCAAGACACAGACGGTGTTAGATATAGGTTTGGAGGGACCTAGAGCAAACGGAGACCAGGAACACATTATCTATATGATCTTACTGAGCGGCAGAACAGACTCCAGGGACTGAACAGCCTCTCCTATGCCGTGCTCCATATTGGGGATAAAAACGAAGAATGTGCTTCTTTTATTGGAATGAAGATGTTGAGAATAATCTGATTTCGAGTTTTTAAACATCAGAATATTATTTCAAATAGGAATGTGATCCTCTGAGTAGGTTTTATCCCCCCCACCCCCCCCCCCCATTCATTTACGGGACGTGGCCTGCGTTTACTGCCCATCCCTAAGTCGACCCCATTGCTGTGAGGCTGCAGTGACGTGTAGGCCAGACCAGGTAAGGAATCAGCCAGCACAGAAGAGACCTTTCTTCCCTGTACCAGCTCTTTGGAAAAGAGGAGGTGAAACTAATTGGATCGTTCTTCAAATGGTCATGTTACTCCCCACCCTTTATGTTGTTGAACCTTCTTCCACTGTCCTTTGGAATCGGTGCATTCCATACTGTAACCAGCGGTGTTTAAACAGCACCTCCTCCTGGTTGGAGGGTTCTGGGTCGCTCTCATTAAGGTTTGCTGCTGTGCTGATACAGCCTACAAAGTCGGAATGACTTGTAACCCTGTGATCACCTCGGTCAAGATAGAAGCTGACAACCTAATAACATAATTCATCACGTGGAGAAAAGAGCTGTGTTGTTGCCATGGTGATTATATAATTGCAGCAGAAATGTATTCTACTGAAATGTTCGGATAAATGAAGGGAGCTATTAAGAGGATCCAATTTCAGAATTTCTGCATTCTTTTTGTGTGTTTAGCACTCCAGAAGTGAAAGAGCCTTTTAGCATAGAGCTCGCATTAATGTGACATTCTATAGTCCAGGTACGAAGTTCCAACACCATTAGAATTGTATAATGCCTTCCTTGTGTGCAGCTCCAGACTATTGTGCCCAAGTCTGAAACATAGAGAATACTGGAGAAACTCAGCAGGTCTGGCAGCATCTGTGGAGAGAAAACAGAGTTAACGTTTCGAGTCCAGTATGACTGTTCAGAGCAGCTCTGAACTCCACATCTCGATCAACAGATACTGTCACACCGACTGCCTGTCTCCAGCACTTCCTGTTTTTATTTTGGATGTCCAGCATCCACAGCATTTTTTTGCTTTTTAAGTAGCTGGTTGGTCTAAGGACTGGTGACCAGTTATTGATGACAAAGGCCTTCTGCCTGTGAGCAACTGTGTGATTGACGCCATCCAGCTTCGGAGTCAGTGTTTGAGAGACACCATCAAATCTACACAAAAGCAGGAGCCCTGTTCACTGCAATAAAAAGCATCAAGAGCCAAAAGATAGTCAGTTTGACTCCCCTTTCCAGATACGGTAAGTTGTGACTGCTAAATTGATAAATCAAAGACTTTTTTATTATTGGGAAGTAGTCACCCTATACTTCCTTCAATCAAGTGAAAGTATCTGGAGAAGGAAAATTGGGGCGTCGTGTTGGGGTTGTACAGGACTTTAGTGAGGCCTCTTCTGTAGTACCATGTGCAGTTCTAGTCACTCTGTTACAGGAAGGATATTACTAAACTAAAGGTCCAAAAAAAATTTACCAGGTTGTTGCTGGGAACGAAGGGAACAGCCAGAAAAAGTGGTACAATTACAATGTTTAAAAGACATTTGGGTTAGTTCATGAATAGGAAAGGTTTTGAGGGATATGGGCCAGGAGCAGGCAGGTGGGACTAGTTTTAATTTGGGATTATGGTTGGTGTGGACTAGTTGGACCAAAGGGTCTGTTTCCATGCGGTGTGACTGTATGATTGAGAAGAATGATTTAATAATTCTATTCACATCGATTTTATCACTAGCTTCCCTCCTCAGATTAGAAACCACAATGGACAAATGACGCATCATAGGAATGACAGACTTTGTGTACAAGTGAATACTTCACTCAATGTGATCAATTATAATTGTATGTGTTTGCTAATTTCCTCTTTCCAGTCAAAGCAAATGGACTTTGCAGATGTAACAGTGGTCATTTTAATCAAAATCGCTGGGCAGAGTCCCACAGGATTGGTGAAGGCATTTATTCTAAATTCGGCCCAATCTTGCACTCTAGGCAGAGTCAGTCCTCCACTTCTGTGGCGATGTTTGTTTGTAACCAAGGATATCCCTTCAGGATGTTACAGCCAATTAAGTATTTGTGAAATGGCAGTCACTGTTCCATTGGAGGAAAAGTGACACCAATTTGCACACAGTAAGTTTCCCCTCAAACAATGTGAGGATGATGATGATGACCAGCAGTCAATGAAGCTGAGGTGCTGTAAGAGCAGCGTAGCACCCAAACACTGTCATTAGCTTGGCTGTGTGGGTTGGGTTAAGACTGATCTTGCTTTCTTCCATTTCACACTGCCATTTTTCCCATCTTCTAGCTTGACCCTCAGCTTGTTGACGGGCACCTCTCCTACTTCCTGGGTGCAGTGGGGATGCCTGGTCTTACCTCTTTGCTGGGGGTGAGAGAAAAGGGGCACGTGACACCCGGTGCCAACCAAACGATGGTGGTCAGTGGCGCAGCGGGAGCCTGTGGAATGTTGGCGGGTCAGGTATGGAATGGAGAGGGTTCAGAAACAATGTTGCTGGGACTGCAGGGTTTGGGTTATAAGGAGAAGCTGGAGCATAGGAGGTTGAGGGGTGACTTTAGAGATTTATAAAACCTTGAGAGGCACAAATAAAATGAACAGCAAAGGTCTTTTCCTTAGGGTGGGGGAGTTCAAAACAAGGGGGCATGTTTTAAGGTGAAAGATTTAAAAGGGGCCTGAGGTGCAACGTTTTCACCAGAGGATGGTTCTTATGTTGAATGAACTGCCAGAGGAAGTGGTAGATGCAGGTACAGTTACAACATTCAAAAGACATTTGGGTAGATACATGCCTGGGAAAGGTGTTGACAGATATGGGCCAAATACAGGCAAGTGGGTCTAGTTCAGTTTAGGAAACCTGGTTGGTTTGGACGAGTTGGACTGAAGGGTCTGTTTTTGTGCTGTATGACTATGACCCACTGTCCTAGTGTATTGTGAGTGGAGCTGACTGATGTAATTCCTTGCAGCATTAGCAAACAGCAATCCTAACAGCCTGGTCACACATCATTGACCCGTGGACTTGTAGTCTAATAACATAACCACTGTAGGATAGCACTACCTTGACCAGTGGGATACAAATCCAGGACATCATCCAGGGCAGCACAGTGGCTCATCGGTTAGCACCGCTGCCTCACAGTGCCAGCGACTCGGGTTCAATTCCAGCCTTGGATGACCGTCTGTCAGAGTGGAGGTTGCACATTCTCCCCATGTCTGCATGGATTTCCTCTGGGTGCTCTGGTTTCCTCCCACAGTCCAAAGATATGTAGGTTAGGTGGATTGGCCTTGCTAAATTGCTCATAGTGTACAGGGATGTGCAGGTTAGGTGGGTTAGCCATAGGAAATGTGGGGTTATCAGGATAGGGTAGGGTGGTTGGGTTTGGGTGGGATGCTGTTTGGAGGGTTGGTGTGGACTCAATGGGCTGAATGGCCTACTTCCACATTGTAGGGATTCCATGTCCTAAATCTATTTCTGATTGTGGCTTGAGTTAATACTCAGATCTTTGACCAAATTTTTGGATGCCTAGCCTAATACTTGTAGCTGTCAGGTATGTCTGATTTATGTTCCTATCTTGGGACATTTCCCCACATTAGAGGTGCTATTTAAATGCAAAGTTTTCAAAGTGACGCAAATGTTTTTGTCTGGTCAATGATATTGTTAGGGCTTGTTTGTGTAATTGTTAATGTTAATAGAATGGATAGGGTATTAATTATCTTTGAGCACACACAAATTGAGAATAGCCTGTACGCTGGAGATGTTGAATGAGATCAGTGAGACTGAGTAAGTCGTTAAATTCTCCCAAGGTAAACTCAAAGCTATGTGTCTTGGTGTTTATCAGTTGGAATCAATGAACAAAATGTTCCCTTGTAATATGCGTTATGTTTGATGGGATTCTGCAATTGCATCTTACGTTTAGCTTCCGATAACTAGGTGTTTTCAGAGGCAGCAGGTTGATTGGTTAAAGTGTCTAACGTTGTCATGGTGCCCCCAGATTGGTCGGCTCGAAGGGTGCTCTCGAGTTGTTGGGATCTGTGGCACTGATCAGAAATGTCAGGTCTTGGTCAGCGAGATCGGCTTCGACGCAGCCATCAACTACAAGAAGGATAATGTTGCAGAGAAGCTCCGGGAATACTGTCCAGCTGGAGTGGACACCTACTTTGACAATGTTGGAGGGGATATCAGCAACACCGTTATAAGTCAGGTAAAGATGCCAAAGGATGAAGGAATGGGAAGGCAGGGAAGTAACTAAGTTTTTTTTTATTCCTGAGTGGGTGAGGGTATGTCGATCACTATTCCTGATCTTTATTCCTCTTTCCCCAGTGAAGAAAGGGAATATTATTCTCTTCTTTTCAAACTATGCAAACCTTTTCCTTTCCTTCCAATCTGCATTTTGTGAAGGCTGCCATCCTAGCGGGCACCTGTACCACTGGGTACACTGGCTCCAGCAGCTCACCTGTTGGTGCCACAGTTGCAAACACAAAATATTGAAGTGCTGTTGAACTGTCCGAACTCTCCTCCTGACCTCTCATCAGTATGCCTCTGATCCTTGATATTCCTAGTAACTGGGGTGAACGAACAGGGTGGCGGGGGTGTGGTCAGGAGTAAGAACAGCCACTTCTCTAAATTTCCACAGGCCCCCGTGCACCCCCCCCAAAAAAAACATTGAAGGCTGTCATGGCTTTGCGCCATCTGCAACAGTGACTTGCATTTATATAATGCTTCTAAAATTGTCAAACCTTTCAAACCCCTTCACAGGAGCACTGCACAAAAAGTTGACCAAGTCACACAGGGAAATACAAGGACTAGTGGGCAAACACTTGGTCATAGAGGTAGGTTTCAAGGAGGCTGAGCGTGGGTCCAAGGAAATCCCAAAATCCCAAAATTTAAAGTCCTTTGTCTGTCCAACTCTCTATGGGCTCTATCTTATCGTTTACTCCCTACCCCACACACCTCCCTATTTTCTGCATATAAACTGACATTTTCCCAGCCACCATCAGTTCTGAAGAAGGGTCACGGACCCAAAACGTTAACTCTGTTTTCTCCTCCACAGATGCTGCCAGACCTGCTGAGCTTTTCCAGCAACTTCGTTTTTGTTCCCAAAAGTTAAAGCCTTGACAGTTCTAGGTATATCAGCCAATGTTGGAGTACTGAAAATACACCTCCAATTTATTGCCTGGAAATATGGTGGAGGCGGGTTTGATTGAGGCATTCGAGGGCACTGATGGTTACCTGGACAGAAATGGTGTGCAAAAATGTGGGGGAAACGGTAGGAGATTTGCATTAGATAATGACGCTCCTTTGAAGAGTAGATAGGATGGGCTGAATGGCCTCATTCTGTGCTGGAACACTCAGAGACTCTGAGTTTTGTGATATATGCTTAAGCAGTAAAACCCCAGCTGTTGGTCGGGGTGTGGGGCAATAGTTTCATTTGTTCATAGTTCCAATCCCCTTTAATTCCATGGTGGGACAGGGGGGTGTGGGAGAAGGAATACCCTTTCTCCAAGATGACCCAGCTCTTACTTTAAAAATAGCTCTTGGCCCAAGCACCGAAAGGGGATACAAATCCTTTTTGTGAAAGCTGCCCTCACTGTTTAACCCTGTCAGTCCACCATCTTAACAGAGGAACAGGAGGAAGCCATTCAACACCTCAAGCTTATTTAGCCTGCTGTTCGAAAAGATCATGGCTGATTTGAGACCTAACTCCATAGCCCTGTCTTTGCTCCGTCTCTCTTGGGCAACTGGTGCCCCCATTAAGAAATATTACTCTTTCTAGGTTTTATCCGAGTATCACAATATCTGTCTCTTCAACCCAGATGAATCCAAACAGCCACATCATCCTTTGTGGACAGATCTCCCAGTACAATAAAGACGTGCCTTATCCCCCTCCGCTGCCCCCTCCCACAGACGCTATCCTGAAGGAGAGGAATATCACCAGGTAAGCGAAACATTTCATTCGCCAATACAGAGGGTGCCCCATACTTTTCTCAGTACCTTCCTGCAGTGCCCTCAGACAGTGGTGGTGCCACAATTTGCAGATTCATTAATAGACAGGGCACCCAGCAAGGAGTTCTTCCCTGGCACTTCACAGATGCTGCCAGACTCTGGGTTTCTCTGGCATTCGTTCCAGATCTCCAGCATCTACTCTTTTATTTTTTTTTGGTTTTTCGAAGGATGGTGAGCTGGCTGACTGCCAGTAGGCATGGCTGTAACCCCAACGATATCCCCACTGCCACTTTCCACAATTGGCTACTCTCACTCGGGCCTATGGTGTAATCAAATCCAAGGGCAAGGTCCTCAGTCTGGGGTCAGGAATCTGATAGAGAGAACAAGGTTCAGGTCCTAACCTCGCACTGCGACTGTACCACTCTGTCTGTGCCATCTTGAAATGCCTCACTTGGGCCAGTTAGTGTTGCTGAAGGCAGTCAGGAAACTGCAACTGACCCCAGACTGTACAATTCTCAGAAGCAGCCATTATAGAGCCTGCTGAAGTCTGGTTCAAAACCCTAGCATTCCCTCCAAGGAAGCTGCGGACCAAGCTAAAGCATGTGGACTGCAGTGGATCAAGAAGGCAGCTCACCACCGCCTTCTCAAGGGCTAACCAGGGGTGGGCAATGAATACTGGCCCAGCAGCGACACCCATGTCCCACAAGTGCGATTTTTTTTTTTTTTTATTCGATGAGGCTGCTGGTTCCCACAGTTGGGTGGCCAAACAGCCACTTGAAAGGCACGATACTTGATCTGACACAATAATCTTTATTGTCAAAACTTATTCTTCAGACTAGCTCTCTGTTTACTGGGTGCCGTGCACGAATGCATGATTTTTGTTTTACAGGCCCACAGTTTGATAGTCGCCTTCTCCCCAGCCCACTATTGAGCTCTTCAAAAAGTATTCCAGGGGTATCAGTTGGAGGGTGCAAGATTACCACATTCTCACCTCCACAGACAGTTGAAAACCAGGCCCACAGACTTATTACAATGGAGAAAGATGCCATTCAGCCCTTCAAGTCCAGCCTGTGTCACACCCATGCCCCTCCCTCTTTTGCAGGAAGTCACGCAAATCAATTTCCTTCAAGCAGCTGCTCAGTTTCCTTTGAAATCATCCATTATTTCTGTTCGTGGGCTATTACCATTCAGTGTAAAATAATTCTTCCTCTGCTTTCGTTTGTATCTGTTACCCAAAGGCAGAAAACTGTGCCCCTTGCCTTTTTATGATCAACCCAACGTGGAACGGGTTTTGCTTGTTCCCTATATCCAAAACTGTCATAATCTTGTACACCTCGATTTAAAATGAAGAAAGAGTGGGATCCTAGATGGCTGGTTTTATCTTTGCTCCATTTTCCTTACTATACACATCAATTTTCCACCTTGCTGAGGATCAGATGTTCCTGAAATTTTTAATTCCAAGTGATTGGACAGAGTGGCAGTGGTTAATTCTGTTTCTCATTCTTTGAATGCATTTGTCACTCTCAAGATCTATTTCCAAGTCAGGATGGTGAATGGCTTGGAGGGGAACATGCAGGGAGAGGTGTTCCCATGTATCGGCTGTCCATGTCCTTCTGATGATTGCTGGGTTGGATGGTGTTGAGCAGAGATGCTTGGTGCATATAATACAGGTGCTTTTAGACACCAACTCTATTAATTGCTGTTCATATTGTGTTGGAAAGTCCCAAGTGCAGTGTTTTGTATCAGAAAAGCTGCAACGCTGGGCCTCCAGACTTTTATCCTGTTCTGATATCTTTGTGTCTGCATGTTTAAACTGACACTGGCAGTGTCTGCTGACAGCGTTGTGTTGGGTAAAACACTTTGTGGTCTAATCGTGATTTTGCTTCCTCTTGTCACCATCCCCTTCCCCTTGTGACCTACAGAGAAAGATTCCTGGTGCTGAATTATACAGAAAAGTTTGATGTGGGTGTGGTCCAGTTGAGCCAATGGCTAAAGGAAGGAAAGCTGAAGGTACTATACTAAACTGCGTATTTACTGTTCTGTGCATTCCTTCTGTGTTTTTTTTAAAATGCAAAACAGATTCCTGGCCAGAATGGGGATGATTGGCAACTTTCCTGTCAGTCATAATGTACTCTGCTGGAACTGACTGGGCATTTTCACAGAATCATTAGAATCCCTATAGTGTGGAAGCAGTTCATTTGGCCTATCGGGTTCTCTTTGGACTGTGGAGGGAAACAAATGTGCAAACTCCACGTTTGTTTGCTTTAAATCCAAGTACTCAAAAATTCCCCACTCACTGCATTTGGTTGAAAAAATAATCCTGCTTTGATTAGGAGATTAGCTGTAGTTTTGGTTGCGAATTCTGTTGCTGCAGTTCATAGAGACTCTGTTAAAAGGCAAACAGACTGTGTTTATGGTAAGGTGATGCAATCCCCACTTTGTAAAAGGGCAACTGTAGATGTAACCTCCTGCTATAGGGTCCTAGGGTTATTGGTGTGTGACTTCGAAATTCCCTCAGCTGCTGTGTCCCTGAGGTGAGCCAGTGAATAGCTGTACTGGCAACTTGGCTCTCTAGTCATCAGAATTCATGTCAAAGCTGGGACAAATAGGCAGTAACCTAGTGGTTACTGCTCATTGGTCACCACCTCTGCCAAGCGGAGCTCTGGTGGGTTGATCACGCATAAAAACACTGCAAATGATGGGGCAGACAGGACGAGGAAGAGGGGGCATGGCAGGAGGGGCAATGAGGCGTTTAACCTTTCCAATCGCTCACTTTACCAACTCCTATCACCTCCCCTGCGCTGTCCGTCACGAGTCAGGTGGGTTCAGTAATAGCTGCCAGCCATTCATGCCAGTTCCCAGAGGGTGGGTTTTGATTGTCCTGGTTTCATAGAGGTCTATAGCAGAGAGAAAAAAACAGTTGTTCCATTAAGTCTACACCAGTCGCAAACAAGCACCTGACTACATTTGACTATTCTGTTCCCAGTGCAAGAACCCTGAATATTGTGATTATACTTTTCTCGTGTCAGTGTGAGTGAACAACACTCTCATCGTGAAGTTCAGTTATTGCAAATCCAATAATCTTGATGTGCAGCATAATCTGACCAAGATGCTGCCCTGGGTTGTCAATGCCAAACCATCACCCTTCCCATTGGTCCTATTTTATTTTGTTGCATAGTTGTGTTGACAGAATGAACTGTAGGTGGCAAGGAAGACACAGTCCGCAGGAACTGGTCACCTGCTAACAGCCTTGAGCCTCTGTGTCAACCCCAAGCCAATGCCTCTCTGCCGCTCAGTGGTGCAGAAGAGAAACTGATGTATGTTTTGGGATGTGGAGTTTAACTGCCAGGTTACCTGGATGCCCATTAGTGACGCTCTCCATGCTACAACTGGCAGGGGAAAGGCAGATATGAACTGAAGCAAAAAGTGTGATTTTCCTGACCAAAGGCCAGCAATTGCACTGACACTTGACACTGCGATGTTTGAATAATGTGGCCCACAGTCGGGTTACACAAGACCTGTTTACAGCTGTCTTAAAACATTTCTCCTGCAGGTTCGTGAGACAGTGGTGAAAGGACTGGAAAACATTGGAGGTAAGAAAACAGGCAAAAACTGAAATGGCTGGAGAAACTTAGCAGGTCTGTGAAGAGAGAACAGTGTTAACGTATCCAGTCAGGGAAAAGTCCACTTTAGGCCATCTTTGTCTACTGTGATCTTCCCCTCTTTACCTTCTAACTGGCATATCTATACAACTCATCCAGCTAAGATAGTGACCCTTAGTTTTCGTCTCTCCCACAAGGAAAAGTGACCTTTCTGCATGCATTCTCCAATTCCCTGGGGTTCCTGTACATTTCAGCAAGACAACCTATCATTCCAACTCTGGATACAGGCCCAACCTGCAGTGTTTAAATCAGAACACTGAAGAATCTGGGGACCACTCAAACACAGAGAGGCAGGTTGGCCTTTGGAAGGACAGTAATCCAACAGATCTAGAAATCTAGTAACATCAGGGTTGCTAACTGAAGAACTTAGTTTTGTTTAATTGCTAGCAGGCAATTTCCGTGAAACAGCTGAAGTTTGTGAGCGACAGAGCACTGCACAGCTGCCAGTGAGGGTTGTAACATACAATTCTGGCAAGCTGGAACAAATAGCAACATTAAATATGTTCAGTCTTCATCTGAATAGATCAGCTCAAACAAGCGAATGAAAGAGATAGGGCACTATTGACATTAAAGGAAATTGCAGGAGGTTGACCATGAGACAAATATCTATTAAATATCTGGATGTTGTGTTTAGAAATGACAGGCGACTGTGTAAGTATGACAAGAGTCAGAGTACAGAATGCAACATGTAGAGATTTGTTGATTCTTTTTCAACCCAGAGTCTCCAGAACATATCAATTCTGATAAAACAGAGGCAGTTCATTCTGGATTAAATTTATTTTTCCTTAAATAAAGTAAAGCACACAGTCAGAAACGGAACACTTCAGTGAACAGATTGTCAAAGGGTGGTGACAAGATATACAGCAGGCTTGCCTTACGAACAGCTGGATTCCAAAACCCTTTGGAACCTGTTCTCCAGGTTCTGGATTGGTCTGGAGTGAAGACAGTATGAAACCCCTCAAATCTACTTTCAAAAAATAATGTACTTATTTTATTGATATTGGAGATATTTTGTATCACGTAGTGAGTTCAGTGAATTGATTTTGTTCATTCAACTTCTCTTGGATGACACTGAATGAAGAGAGTGGTCAAAGGTGCCTTGTTCCCAGAGCACTGCCATCAAAGTTACCAAAGCTGGCTAGGTTGGGAGATGGCTTTTGAAATATGCCGTCTTTGAAAAGATCTTCAATAAGATTGCATGTTAGTCTTATCTCTAAGATCAGAGGAATAGAATAGGTGGAGAAGCATCTGACTGGATAGCAAACTTGATTATAAACAGAAAACTGATTGGAGCTGAAAGATACTTACTCAGACTGACAAAAGGTGTGAAATGAACTTCACACATCACTGTTCACCATCTACATAAACGCTTTGGAAATTGGCAATATGATTTCAAAACATATGGGCGACACCAAATTGACAAGGAAAGGGGAGCTAGTTAATACAGAGGACAGCTGTGATAAAATACTGGCAGGTATTAATTTAAGAGCAAAGTGGGCATGGAAATGATAAATTAATGTCAATGGTATTCAGATTCTGATTGGAAGAGTCCCTGGTAATCATATCCCACTACTCCACAAATTAACCAAAGGTGTAAATGTTTCATTTAATCACCAAAGTAGTCAATTGGCTTCGTTTTAATGCTGTTATCCAGAAACGCAAGAGTCTTTCACTAAGTTTCTTCAATAAATTCAAAATTAGCTTATTTATAATAAATAAAACTTGTACTTTAAACAAGTGGAAAAACTGGTTATCAGCTAAGTTCGGAATTAAACTTCGTCCTGTGAATCACAAACATGCACACAATTACACGTAGTCAACTCTGCCGAGATAATCTGGGGTTTAAAAGGTCTGAACTCTCAGTTCAGTTGGCTTCCTGTCATTGAGATCATGATGCTGACAATGAATTGTCGAGTGTGTGTGTGTCTGTTTATTAATTCATAGAGATGGACCTTGCAGCTGGCCCTGCTGTCAGCTTCTTGGAGATATTTCCCTTCGCCTGACACCCATTTGGTGTGTACTGGAAAACATAGCAACTGTAGTCCAGAGGCTGTTGCTAAGAAACCTCCAGTGACAAGCCTCTTCCACCTGTTTGTTTAACAATTAAAGTTTAAAAAAAACTTATCAAAAATCAAAAGCTTTGTCTTGCCTTTCTTCTACGAAGTCTATTTGTAAATGGTAGGTGAATCACAAGGTTAAAACCATTTCTTAATCCAGAATGTCCAAAAAGCTCCATATTCCACATCCTCCTAATTCTTAAATAAAACTGTGTATTTTGGTAGATTCAGGATTTCTGTATTTGGGGTAGGGGTAAAGGGATCTAAGGGTAAAAACTAATAATCCATCTTTCGTACTTACACAGTCACCTGTCATTTTTAAACACCGCATAGAGCTTAACAATGTTAATACGAAATGGGAGCAAGGGAAGGCCATTTGGCCCTCAAGACTGTTGTACCATCTATGAAGATCTTCCACCTCAACTCGACTTGCCTGCACTATTACTTAATTCACTTCGTACCCAAAATCTATCAATCTCAGTCTTGAATTATTCTCAATGATTGAGCATTCACAACCCACTAGGGTAGAAACTTCAAATGATTCACAGCCCTGCCACTGAAGAAATTTCTTCTCATCTCAGTCTAACTGGTTGACTCCTTACTTCTGTAACTGTGTAGAATGTGGAATTTACTACGACAGGGAATACATGAGTGAATTGTATCAACACCTTTCGGGGAAAACTAGATCGCCATATCAGAACATAGGAGCAGGATTATGCCATTCAGCCCCTCAAGCCAGCCCTGCCATTCAATATGACCATGGCTGATCTGCCTCGGGCCTCAGCTCCTCTATTGTGCCGCCTCTCAGCCATCAAATAAAAAAATTACCTTTAAATAGTTTCATTGATCTAGCCTCCACAACTCCCTGGGGTAGAGATTTCCAGACATTCGCTACCCTCAGAAGAAATTACTTTCCATCTCGGTATTAAATGAGTGCACTCTTATTCTGTAACTATGTTCCCTAGTTTTGAGATTCACCCACTAATGGAAACATCCTCGTAATATCTACCCTTGTCAAGCCCCTTCAGAATCTTGTACATTTCAATAAAGGCCTAACCTATTTAGTTGTTCCTTCATCTTAGGAATCAGCCTAGTGCGTCTCCTTTGAACACCTCCAATGCCAGTACATTCTTTCTTAAATACAGAGACCAAAACTGCACATTGTTCCAGTACTGTGACTAGTGGTATCCTACAAGGATCAATGTTAGGGCCTCAGTTATTCATATTATTTATTAATGACCTGGATAATAGTGTAGAAAGTCATCTGTCTAAATTTGATAACACCAAGTTAAGCAGCATTGTAGATGATAGTCTATCAATGTAACTTTATGCTAAGTGATTGGGCAAAATTGTGGCAGATGGAGTTCGATGTAACAAGTGTGAGGTTATCCACTTTGGAATGAAAAAAGATAGGTCAGGGTACTTTCTGTATGGAATACAGTTAAATACAGTAGATGCCCAAAGAGATTTGGGGTTCAGATCTTAAAATGCAACAAGCAGGTGCAGAAAATAATTAAGAAAGCTAATGGAATGCTAGCCTTTATATCTAGAGGACTGAAGTACATGAATGCAGAGGTTATGTTGCATTTACTCAGAACCCCAGTTAGACCTCATTGGAGAACCGTGGGCAGAACTGGGCAGCAGACCTCAGGAAGGCTTATTGACTTTGAAGGGAATATAATGTAGGTTTACAAGAATGATACATGGATTTCAGCGGTTATGTTACGAGGATAGATTAAACAAATTAGGCATGTTTTCTCCAGAATTTACAAGGATAGGGGGTAATCTGATCAAAGTCTTCAAGATATTAACAGAAGTCAAGGTAGGTAAAGATAAACTATTTCCATTGGTTGGAGATTCTAGAACTAGTGAATACAGCCTGTGAGTATTAGGGTCAGATCATTCAGGAGAGATGTTAGGAAGTGCTTCAACGTATAAAGGGTGGTAGAGATTTGGAATTTTGTTCCACTAATAGCAGTGGATACAGGATCAGTTATTAATTTTAAAGCTGTGATAGATTAATGTTAAGTAAATGTATTAAGGAATATGGGCCAAAGGTAGGGAGGTAAATGGAGTTGGAATCAGCCATGATTTCATTGAAGGGGGGAACAGAGTTGAGGGGCTGAATAGCCTACTCTGTTCCTATGTACTCCAGGTGTAGCCTTACCAATACTCTTTACAATTGTAACATGTCTTCACTGTTTTTAAACCCGAACCTCCTAGCAATAAATGTCAAAATCCATTTTGCTGCTTAATTCCTTGATGCATTAAAAATACCCAGATCCGTCTGTGTTGCACATTTTGTTTTGGAGTCTCTCTTCATTTAAATAATAGTCTGTCTTTTGATACTTCAATCAAAGTGCATGACCTCACACTTTCCTATATTAAACTCCATTTGCCATGTTTTTGCCTGCTCACTCAACCTACCTATATCCCCTTACAAACTCAGAGTCATACAGGATGGAAACAGACTCTTTGGTCCAACTTATCATGCTGACCATGTTACCAAACTAAACCAGTCCCACTTGCCTGCATTTGGCTTATATCCCCTCCACACCTTCCCTATTAAAGTACTTATCCAAATGTCTTTTAAATGTTGTAACTGTACCTGCATCCAACACTACCTCTGGCACTTCATTCCACATACACACAGAATGGTTTGTAAAAGAAAAAGTTGCCTCTGATGTCCTTTTCAAATCTTTCTCCTCTCACCTTAAAAAATGCCTCTAGTTTTGAACACCTTTACCTTATCTATACCCCTCATGATTTTATAAATCTCTACAAGGTCACCCTGCAACCTTCTATGCTGCAGTGAAAAAAGTCCCAGCCTATTTTTATAACTCAAACCCTCCATTCCTGGCAATTTCTGGTAAATCTTTCCTGAAAACACTCCAGCTTAATAATATCGTTCCTGTAACAGGGTGACCAGACTGGACACAGCACTCCAGAACAGGCCTCACCAAAGGACTGTATGACATCCCAACTCTTATACGCAATGGCCTGAGCAATGGGAGCAAGCGTGCTAAATGTCGTCTTAACTACCCTGTTTACCTGTGATGCAAATTCCAAAGAATTATATACCTGGACCCTCAGCCTATCTGTTCTACAACACTACCTAAGGCCTTACCATTAATTGAGTAAGGCTTGCTCTTGTTTGTTTTACCAAAATGCAATACCTCACATTTATCCAAATTAAACTCCATCAGCCCACTGACCCAATTGATCAAGATCTCTCTGTAATTTTAGATCACCTTCTTCACTGATAGCAGGAACTGCAGATGCTGGAGAATCTGAGATAACAAGGTGTAGAAATCTGATTTCTGAAGAAGGGTCTAGGCCCGAAACGTCAGCCTTCCTGCTCCTCTGATGCTGCTTGGCCTGCTGTGTTCATCCAGCTCTACACCTTGTTATCTCACCTTCTTCACTGTTGACTTTACCACCAATTCGGTGTCATCTGCTAACCTACTTATCATGCCTCCTATATTCTCATCCAAATCATTTTTATAAAAATGATAAACAAAAGTGGACCCAGTACCCATCTCTTTAGAACACTGGTGGTCACAGACCTCTTGTATGAGAAACAACCCTCCACCACCACCTCCTACCGTCGAACCAATTTTATATCCAATTGGCAAGCTCATCCTGAATCCTACGTTATCTAACTTCTAATTAGTCTATCATGCAGATACCTTTATCAAAGACTTTAGTAAAGTCCAAGTAAACAACATCTACCACTCTGCCCCCATTAATCTTTTTGGTTACTTTCTCAAAAACTCAACATTGTGAGACATGATTTCCCTCACACAAAACTATGCTGACTATCCCTAATTAGTCCCTACCTCTGCAAATGCATGTAAATCCTATCTTTCAGAATCAACTTCAACTTACCCACCACCAATGTCAGATGGTCTATAGTTCCCAAGCTTCTCCTTACAGCCTTTCTTAAATAAACACACATTAGCCACCTTCCAGTCCTCCAGCACCTCACCCACTGTTATAGATGATATACATGTTTCTGCTTGGCGCCCCACAATGTCCTCCCCCCACAACATGCTGGGGGTCCCGGAGATTTATCCACGTTTATGTTTTCTAAGACCTCCAGCACTTCCTCTTCTGTAATGTGAACTGTTTTCAAAACATCAATATTTATTTCTCGGAGTTCTCTAGCCTCTTTCTTTCTCCAAAGTAAAAACTGACATGAAATGTTCATTTAATATCTCTCCCATCTCCTAAGATTCAACACAAAGATGATCTTGTTAACGTTTAAGGGTTCTACTGTTTCTCTAGTTGCTCTTTTAATGTACTTGCATCATCTCCTTGGATTATCCTTAACCTAATCTGCCAAGGCAATCTCATATCCCCTCTTTGCCTTCCTGATTTCCCTCTTAAGAATACCCTTACACTCTTTATACTCTTGTTATACAGTTGTCTAATCCTTTTTATTCTTGACTAGAACCTCAATATCTTTATTCATCCATTGTTCCCTAATCTTACCACTTTACCTTTCACTTTAACTGGAACATTTGTTTCTCTGAACTCTTGTTACTACACATTTGAAAGTCTCCCACTTGTCTGTCGTCCTTTTACCTGTGAACAGTCTACTCCAATCGACTTTTGAAAGTTCTTGTCTCATACCGTTAAAATTTGCCTTGCTCCAATTAAGAACTTTAACTTTTATGGAAGGCTTATCCTACTAATAGAATTATGATCATTAGTCCCAAAGTGTTCCCCTACTAACACATCAGTTACTTGCCTGCCTCATTTTCTAAGAGAAGGTCAAGTTTTGTTCCTTCTCCAGGAGGAACATTTACATGTTGATAAAAACGTTCTTGAACATTTAAAAAATTCCTCACCATCCAAACCTTTAACACCAGTCTCGTCCCAGCCAATGTTTGGAAAATTAAAATCCCCCAATTCCTTATGTCATCACAACATATCCTCCCACCTACGTTTCCATCATCAGTAAATTTGGATACATTATACTCTGCTCATCCTCCAAATCAATAATAGATTGAAAATAATTGAGGCCCAAGATCCTTGTGGCACTCCACTTAGTTAGAACTTTCTAACCTGAAAAAGACACATTAATCCTGACTCTCAGTCTTCTGTGTGTAAACCAATCAGCAATCCATGCCAATACAGATTCAGAGGCTGCCAACTCTTGTCTGTGGGTCATACAGGTGGATTAAAGAATCGAAAAACTGCAGGAGTCTATTCAGCCCAGTGTGCCTGTTCCAGCTACTCAAAAGAACCAAACAATTAGTCTGAATTTGCTGATGTTTCCATACAATTCTGCAGTTTTGTTTTCCCTTCCTTTTGAATTTTGAAAGTTCCTCTCGAATCTCTTTTAGGAACACCTTCCAGATCACAACAATTTAATGTCAAAAAAATTCTCTTCCTTCCTCTGGGTCTTCTGCCAATTGCTTCAATCTGTGTCTTGTGGTTAACTGAATCTGTTGCCAGAGGAAACACTGGCATTATCCCTTGTAATACTGAATGCTTGTCTTAAACTTTCTCTTAACCTTCTCTGGCATAAGACTAACAATCCAGTTTCTTCATTGGAATACCTTATCCCTGGGACCAATTCAAATTACACAAAATCTGGTGCCCTAAAATATGACTCTGTTGCAAATGCTGTATCAGCACGAGATGGAGCCTGTACTGAATCAATAGCATTGTTGGTCTTGTTTGTTATGAGACAGTTGAGGATACTAACTCTTCAGGATAGTTCACCTTTCCTCTCCAAACTCTTATAATTGTGTAAAACTCACTATTCTTCTCTTGCAGCTGCCTTTCAGTCCATGATGAAAGGAGGAAACATTGGGAAACAGATTGTCCTGGTCTCTGATGGTAATAAAAGTGCCCAGTCACCCTGATGAACCCAGCACCTGGCATGTTGAAGGACACCACAACTATTGTTGCAGTTGTGGCTGGCAGTGCCATTGTTGGCCTGACTCTGTAATGAAATTAAGACACTGATGGTTTCTCTCTGCTTTGTCGTTGAATAGCTGGCAAGGAGAGAAACTTGATGATGCACCACCAATGGATGCAGTTTGGGTTAGGTTCAGCCTACCCTTCTCTGGCATGCACCTTCACTGGATCCTACCTGCTGTTTAGATGTACATGTAGAAAACTAGTTCACACCAAAATAAAACCCTTGTGAACAGTTTGATTATTCCATGTTGGAGTGGTGAATATCAATATTTTGCAAACTTGAAATAGAACAGTTAGGTTTTCCTCCTTTATAAAAAGTGCTGCCTGTTTTGTGGAACCTTGCTGGACTGTGGGACGATGAGGATTACTTGAAGTAACACATTGTTTTTGGAAACATTGGTTTGGTCAGTGTAGGGAGAGAAGCCTTTTCGGTTTCTGGAATGTTACCTGTTATAAATGACAGTTGTTTCTTCCAAGCAACACACCTTGAGCTTTTTAATATATTCATTTGTGGGATGAGGGCATCGCTGGCTAGACCAGCCTTTATTGCCCATCCCTAATTGCTTGGAAGGCAGTTAGAGTCAGCCACATTGCTGTGGATCTGGAGTCACATATGGGCCAGACCAAGTAAGGATGGCAGCTTCCTTCCCTAAAGGACATCAGTGAACCAGATGGGTTTTTCAGATAATCAACATTGAATTCATGGTCATCGTTAGACTCTTATTTCAGTTTTTTAAAAAGATTGAATTCAAATTCCACCACCTGCCTTGATGGGATTCAAACCCGAGTCCCCAGAACACTTACTTGGGTCCCTGGATTAACAACCAACAATAATACCACTAAGTTGTTCCCTCCTCCTGATTTCTATTATAGCTCTCTATTGACATCAATCCACCATCCAACTCCAGCTGCTGCCCATATCCTGACTTGCAGTAAGCCCTATTCCTGTGTTAATCCTGTGTTTGCTGACTGACCTGGGCTCCCAAGCAAGACCTTGAAAGTGAAATCCTTATGTTAACCCCTAGCCCATCTCTGAGATCTCCTCCAGCCCCACACAATGCCAGCTATCTTTGCTCCTTCAATCTAGCCTTTCAGGCATTCCCAATTTCCACTGGTGGTCTTACCTTCGGGTATTTAGGCCAGCTGTGAGGCGGCAGTGGATATCATGGAGCTGTGACCAAGTCATTAACTGATGAAGGGTCTAGGCCCGAAACGTCAGCCTCTCTGCTCCTATGATGCTGCTCGGCCTGCTGTGTTCATCCAGCCCTGCACCTTGTTGTCTCATTAACAGTTCTGTTCTCTCTCTAATAGGTCCCCCACTCCCACAGCATCCCCACCTTCAACACATCCCCAAACAATCTCGTTTTCTCAGATGGGTCATGACAATTTTAAAGCTTTGAAATTGGAACAGAGTGGGGAAAAGTTTGGAATGCAATGGTCATAGACCCTAAGAACAGTAATTCCCTCCTTAATCTCTTCTTTCTACCTGTTTCCTTTGTAATTCGCAACTTAAAAATCTACCATGAATCTTGCCCAAATGATTCTTTCGACTTGGTGTCAATTTTTGGCCACTCTTTATGAAGCACCTCAGAATATATTATTATATTTAAGGTACTATATTGACATAAGTTGTTCTCAACTACTGTATGCTTTAGGATTTTCAATTTCCACTAGTTCCACTTTGCTTCTCATTGGACCTACCAACACCCTACTATTAACCTGTCTGGTGCTGCTTCTCGCAGCTTCAGTGTAAACCAGTTCTTCCAAATGGGCCTTGGCAGTTTCTGACTAGAGCAGCAGGACTTGATCATTCTTTGATTCTGCTCTGCTAACTTGTTACTTGGACTGACCATCTATAACACTGGTATGAAATTAGTGGACCATTCCTGGGAGTTACCATTGACCAAAATCTGAACTGGAGTAGCCATATAAATACCGTGGTTACAAAAGCAGTTCTGAGACTAGGAATCCTGCAATGACTAAATCACCACCTGCAAGGCACAAGTGAAGAATGTAATGGAATACTCACCATTTGCCTGGATGGATGCAGTTCCAACAATACTTAAGAAGCTGGACACTATCCAGGACAAAGCAGCCTTCTTGATTGGCACCCCATCCATCACCTTCAACATCCACTCCCCGCTTCAACACTGAACTCAGTTGTAGCAGTATGTACTATCTACAAGCTGCACTGCAGAATTTCATCAAAGTTCCTTCAACAGCACCTTGACCACTTCCATCTAGAACAAGGGCAGCAGATAATAGGAACACCACCCCCTGCAAGTTTCCCTCTAAGCCACTCACCGTCCTGACACTCAGAGAAAGATATCCTCATCTTCACTGTCTTAAATGAGTGACTCCTTACTCTGAGATTATGTCCTCTGGTCATAGATTCTCCCACATGCTGCAACAATCTCTCCGTATCAACCCTGTCAAGACCCCTAAGAATCTTGTATGTCTTAACAAGGTCTGTCCTGAATTCCAATGAGTACAAACTACTCAGCCCAGGGTCAGTCTAGTGAACCTTCTCAGGGCTGTCTTCAATGCCAGTGTATGTTTCCTCAGATAAGGGGCCCAAAAATGTTCACAGTATTCCAGCTGTGCTCTGACTAGTGCCTTGTAGTAAAACCTCCCTACTGTTATAATCCTTCAAATAACTATTGTTATTTGAAATAAAGGCCAGTCCATTTACTTTCCCTATCAATTGATGAACCCCATCTTTTTGTGATTCCCACATGACCCCCAGATCTCTCCATGCTTTCTCTATTTAAGTAATATTCAGATAGTTTCTGCTTTATAACTAAAAAAGCAATACATTGATTGCCATTGTCATGTGATCTACACAGTGTGTGAATGCAGATATTTGGCTTATTTAGCTTTGTATTTGTTACAAGCAGTATACTGGCTGATGTCATCCTGGCAGAGAAGCCTGGATATCCGGAAATGTTCGGAACTGAATAAAAAGGAAAAATAGATACAGAAGTAGCAAATCATCAGAGGCCCTAGTGGAGTACAGAAAATGCAGGGGGAATCTCATGAAAGCAATTAGGAAAGGAAAGAGGGGCGTGAGAAAACACTGGCAGACAAGATTAGAATCTCTAGATATTCTACAAGCATATCGATGGGAAGAAAGTAACCAGGGAAAGATTGAGCCTATTAGGGACCAAGAGGACATTGATAGAGAATTAAATGAGTACTTCACATTTTTCTTTACTGGGGAGATGGAGGATGTAAGTGCAGAATTCGAGAAGATGGACTGTAAAGTTCTTGAGCAAATTTATATAAGAAGTGAGGGGGTATTGGGAAATTTTGGCAGATTTAAAACTGGACAGATCCCCAGGTCTGGATGAGCAGTACCTAGGCTGTTGTGGGAGACAAGGAAGGAAATTACAGAGGCCGTGACCCAAATTTTTAAATTGTCTCTGGCCACAGGGAAGATGCCAGAGGGCTGGAGGACAACTGATGTGGTTCCATTTTACAAGTGCATTATAGATAGACCAGGTAACTATAGACCGGCAAGTCTAACATCAGTGGTAGGAAACTATTGGAGAAAATAGTGAAGTAGAAAATTAATCTCCATTTAGTGAGGCAAGGTTTGGTCAGGGATAGTCAGTAGGGCTTTGTCAGAGGAAGGTCATGCCGAATAAATCTGGTTGAATTTTTCAAGGAGGTAAATGAGTATGTAGATGAGACTAGTGCAGTTGATGTAGTTTATATGGATGTCAGCAAGGCCTTCGACAAAGTCCCACATGGGAGACTAAAAGCTAAAGGCTCATTCAGGGTGACCTGGCAAGTTAAATGCAAAATTAGCATAGTGATAGGAGACAGAGTGGTAGTAGAAGGCTGTTTCTGTGACTGGAACCCCATGTGCATCTGGAGTACTATGTGCAATTCTGGTCTCCACACTATAGGAAGGATGTGACTGCACTGGAGGTGGTACAGAGGAGATTTACCAGGATGTTGTCTGGGAAAGAGGTTGGATAAACTTGGGTTATTTTCTTTAGAGCAGAAAAGGTTGAGGGGGGAACCTGATGGGTGTGCATAAGATTACGTGGGGCATGGACAGGGTAGATAGAAAACAGCTGTTCCCCTTAGTTGAAGGCAGGAGGTTTAGTGTTGACTTGAGGACTTGTATTTTCATGCAGAGGTGGTAGGGATCTGGAATGTACTGCCTGGAAGGGTAGTTGAGGCAGGAAACCTCACAACCTTTAAAAAGTACTTAGATGAGCACTTAAGTGTTGTAACATTCAAGGCTATGGGTCTAGTATGGCAAGTGGGACTAGTGCAGGTAGTAGTGTATTTTTGGTAGTGCAAACCTAATGGGCAGAAGAAACGTACTGTATGATTCTATACAGCTTAAACTCATTGCCCATATTGTAGCCCAATAAAGCACATCTTTTGCATTTTTCTGATGGGACTCAATTCCTTGATGACTTCCATGGATCTACTTTAACAGCTCTTTCTCATCTGCTTTAGGATGACAACACAATTTCCTTTGTACGATATACCATCTTGGGCTATCATTTAATCTCTGTACTCCCAATATTCTCAACAGGTGTGTAGCTGATGGTTTTCACCATCACTACTTCCAGCAGCACTTGGAGAATTGCATCTTCTCATGTCATATTGTTCATTCTCATTCAATAGTAAGATTTAACACTCTTCACCAATATCTTCATCTTTCTTCCTATGGACCACTGCTGTCAACAGTATGTTTGCCATCAGCTTCCTCGTTTGTATGTCATTGTCAAATAATACCTTTGCAAGTGCAGTATCATTCTTTGCAGATGCTTTGGAACTGATAAATGGTGTAAGGTGTTTTGAAGCAATTTGTGGTCAGTCTTACATCACTTCCTCTCACTGTCAAACAGGTATTGATTAAAATGTTCATAAGCAAAGACAGTAGCCAAGGACTTTTCTCAATCTATGCATAACATTGTTCAGTATGTTAATGTTCTGGACACAAATACTGTACAACTGGATATCCTTGATATACACTAAGGCTGTTCCAAGTCCTGTCTCATGGCATCACACTGCAGTATATCTTAATCATTGAATTGTTACAGTGCAGAAGGAGGCCATTCAGCTCATCATATCTGCACTGGCGCTATTGTCTAGTCCAGCTCTATTACCTGGTTCCAATATATTACCTTTTCCCTTTATCCTGTATATCATTTTGATTCAAATAATCATCTAGTACCCTCTTGAATGCCTCAATTGAATCTCCACCACATTTCCAGGCAGTGCATTCTATACCTAACTACTTGCTGTGAAAAGGATTTTTCTCACATCATCCATGCTTTGTTTTGACATCATTGTACATCCTTACTCCCTCATTCTTGTTTCTTTTACAAGCGAGAAAAACTTCCTTTTATCTGCTCTGACCAGTTCGTCCATGGTTTTGAAAGCATCTATCAGATTTCTTCTCAGCCTTCTTATCCCAACTCCTTCAATCTATCCTTATCACTGCATTTTTCATTCCTGGAACTTGTAAATTGCTTCTGCACTTTCTCCAGTGAATTTACATCTTTCCTATAGTGTGATGCTCACACTTGTACACAATACTCCAGCTGAGGTCTAACAACTGTCTTGTATAAGTTCAATATCACTTCTTTGCTCTTATAGTCTATGGCCCTAATAATAAAGCTGAGAACACATTCTGCTTTATTAACTGTACTCTCCACCTGTCTTGCCACTTTCAGTGCTCTGTTCACATATACCCAAGTCCTTCTGCTCTTGCACCCCCTATTTTACATTGTCTTTCAATGTTCTTCTGACTAAAGTGCATCATCTCACACCTCTCTGCCCATTCCACCAACTTGTCAATCTCCTTTTGGAGTTCCACACTGTCATCCTTACAGTTTACAATTCTTCCAAGTTTAGTGTCATCTGCAAACTTTGACGTTGTCCCCTGCACATTAAGATCCAGATCATTAATATATGTCAGGAAAAGCAAAAGGTCCCAATACCAACCCCTGGGAAACACCACTACAAACCTTTCCCCAGCCTGGAAAAGCATCCATTGACCATTACTGTCTGTTTCCTATCAGTCAGCAAATTTTGTATCCACATTGCTACTCTCCCTTTCCTCACCAGTCTGGTGTGATGCGGTGTTTCAAATGCCTTCTGGAAACCCAATGTATACCACGATGGTAGCTCAGCACTGGCATCATTTTCAATGATTATTTGATGTGCGTGAAAGCTGCTGCTTGTTCTTTCACTGTTGTTACATGGCCTCAATCATCTTCAATTACATTTGTTTTCATTCAACTTCAGGTTCACCTGGCAAGCTCTTCAGCAATCTCATTAGATTCTGATCATTGTCTGTGGTAGCATCTCCATTCTATCTTCACACAATGACTAGCAAATCTTCCACTATAGCCTCCACTCAGAGGATCACTCAATCCCTGGCATCCTGCTAAATGCTGAAAATCACTATTGGCACTTGTAGGGTTGCCTGTCCAAGTTATGTCTTAGGGAGGTGAAAGGTAAGATAAATATGTTTGTTCTTCCTCCTGCTGTTACGTGGAATTTCAGAGGAAAACTAAATATGCCCAATTTTATTTATGGTGCATTGATCCCCTATTGGTAACATTTTGGTAAAAGGTGAAAATATGGTGTAGGGAGATAGGGAATAGCAGTGTCTTCAATGATGAGAATAAACTAATCCAATAGGATATCAGTGATATCAAAACAGGGAATGCTGGAGAAACTCAGCGGGTCTGGCAACAAACATGGAGACAGAAACAGAAGACTCAGGTCTCAAACCATTAACTCGGTTTCTCTCTCCACAGATGCTGCCAGACCTGCTTTGTGTTCACTTCAGACTTCCAGCATCAGTTTTTGCTTTTGTTTTCAATTTCCATTTTGCTCAATTTTTCACAGCTTAAGTTTCAGTGTACTTTCTGGTTTTCCCGTAATCAGTCAGAAGTTTCGGCCTCCCCTCTGGTTTTCCCCTGGACTACCTGAACCACATTCTGATTTTTTACGTGCATTTGTTTTCCTCAAGCCAAAATAGCCTGGCTCACCTCCTTCCCTCCCCCAATCTCTTTTCACCATTCATGACCGATACAGTCCTTTTATGAGTTGATAATACAAGCCTATAAAATCACAGCAGTTTTTAGCTGTGGTAACTATATCAACCAATGACCTTGCAAATAAACTGAACGTTTCACACTGAATTAAATGCTCTTGCACATTCCTGGGGAGCACCTCGTGTCTGTACAGTTGGAAACAAATTTCTGTATTTTCAATTGGAGGTACCTTTTTAAATTGAGTTTTTCAAAAGTGGATTTTAAAAAACTGCATCAGGCAATTTTTCTGAAGGGTCTAGGCCCGAAACATCAGCCTTCCTGCTCCTCTGATGCTGCTTGGCCTGCTGTGTCATTCAGCTCTACACCTTGTTATCTCAGATTCTCCAGCATCTGCAGTTCCTACTATCTCTCAGGCAATGCATTACCCCTTCAACTTTCTGCATGACTGAACAGTGTTTGACACTGATATTTTGCACTCAAATTATCTCACTCACTCTGTGAGGGACGTGACAGAGACAGCATGGGGGGAGGCGATCAAATTGAGTTCACTTTTGTTCAAATCAGACAAAATGATGTGTAAAGGAAATTTGGAAACACCCATGTGGAGAGTTTCAGGTCAGTCAGCTCACACCTTGATATAATTGTGGATTTTCAAGTCGGTTGCACTTTGTCCTTCAGCTGGGTTTGTTCCTATGGCATGAGTGGCAGCAGCACCCCTGCCGGAACAAGCAAGGATTACAAACATGACCTCTAACATGTATGTTTTTGAAAGGGGTCCTTCCTAATCCATAGTTCAAGTAAGGATAGTGCTGAGGATTTCAATGGACTGGGAAAAAATTTACAGCCCATTCCTTTCGATTTGAATGTTAATGTGTTGCATTTTAACACTTTGAAGATCAGTGGCAGGCATGGAGCAACAGCAGGCCACTCAGGCCCTCATGCCTGTCCCAGCATGAGTCTAACCCAATAAATCCTCCTTAATTCTGTAATTCACAAAAAACTGCATTCTTCTGGCAATCGTTGACTTTAATCATTCCACCATTTGGTGGTTACACTTTCAGTTGTGTGGGCCCAGGGGTCTGACATTCCCTCCCTAAACCTCTTTTTGTCTCCGAGATACTCTTTGACAAAGCCTTTTGATATTTCTCCCAATATCTGTGAAGCAGTTTGGAATGTTTTATTTAAAGATGGTATTTAAACACAAGATGTCATTGAAAGCATAGCAGAGAAGGAGCACAGATACACATGTTCCACACTAGATTTGACAACATCTAAACAGCATTCATCATGGCATTTATTTTTGTCTGAATGTGTTCCTTTGTGACAAGCACTATCTCCTCACAGTAAAATACGAAGAGGAATTACTTCATGCTGGAAGACCCAGGGGATTCAAGTGCTGTGCTCAAAATACATTCGGATTTTAAAGTAGTGTTTCCAAACTGTAACAGTTATGATTCATTGCTGCTCTGGACAGTCATTTTGTGAATTGTAAATTAAACAATTTTCCTTCATCGTTTGTGATTACAACATACGAGGTAAAATTAAAAAGAAAACCAGAAAATGCTGGAAGCACTCCACATGCAAAGCAATAACTTTGCAGGAAAAAGGACATTACTTTTCTATAATTGTTAACAGCCTTAGGCTATCACAAAACACAAAGCATCCCAAAGGGTATCCTGCAGCCGATTTAGCTGTGGCAACATCTGGCAAACAGTAATGTGATAATGACCAGATCATACAGTTTTGGACATTTACTTTTATTTCGAGCCAGCTGAGGCTCAGCTGGTAGTGCTTTCACCTCCAAGTCAGAAGGTTGTGGATTCAAGCCTGACTTCAGGCCCAGCATGATAAGCAAGGGCTGACATTTGGTGCTGTGTAATACTGAGGGAATGCTGTACTGTGGCAGGCGATACCTTTTATTTGAGGTTCCCTATGGTGGCCCAAAACATTCCTACAGCACTATTTCGTAGAAACCCAGTGGAGGTCTCCCCATGTCCGGGCCAATATTAATCAGTCAATCCAAAACGAATATCCATTCATCACCATCTTGTTGCATGCAAACTGACTGCTACATTTCCAACACTACAACAGTGCAAGTCTTCCTTATCACTTGAGGGATAAGCTGGGGCACCAGGAAAATTCCCCTCCTCCTGTTTGAAATAGTGACATCTGATCTTTTACATACCCGTGAGCAGACAAACATGATCCCAGTTTAACATCTCACTCGAAAGGCGATATCTCTGGCAGTGTCGCTCTGCCTCAGTACATGGAGAGAAAGGCTCAACGTTTCAGACTGATGATATGTCAGATGCCGCCTGACCTTGCTCAGCATTTTCCAGCAGTTTCTGTTTTAACTAACTTCTACGACCATTCTCAGTTCTTGCTTTCCATCCCACTAGTTTGAAATTTTTTCCAAAATTAATTTACTTACGGAATGAAACCTGAAAAAATTATTTCAAGCGTGTGCTAAACAACCCCTCACTCTTCAAAGGACCCCTTATGTTTCCATATTTCTCACTTGTAAATCAACACGAATATCAAGAACAGCAGCAGCTGCTCCAGCCAACCCTGTTAAATTCTCTGCCACAGAATGCGGTAGAGGATAATACATTGAATGTTTTCAAGAAAGTGATATAGTTCTCTGGGTTAAAGGGATCAAAGCGTATGGGAAGCAAGCGGGAACAGGGGACTGAGTTGAATGATCAGCCACGATAATATTGAATGGCAATGTAGGCTCGAAAAATCAAATGGCCTACTCCTGTTCTATTTTCTGTGTTTCGAACTCTCTTTATACAGTTCTGAAGTGAAGAAATATACATGGAGAGGATGCAAGTCATTTTGATTCCTAGAGGGCAGCATAAACACACAGACATTCACTGACACACACACACAAATATTCATTAATACAGACACACACACACAGTACCCTAGTGGGTTCTGCCCAGCCAGTATAAAACAATACTAGGTGGGATAGGAGGTAAAATGTGAGCTGCTCCTACCAGCTCCCCCTTCTTGAGTGTAATCTGCATTTGCATTAAAATCGATTTTCTGTTTGTTCCCGTTGTTGCGCTTGTTTTGAGATGGGGGCAATGGAAGGAATGATTTGACAGGATTTGATACTGCAATCATTCGGTGTGATTTTTGATGGACTGGTTCGAGAAGTGTGACTGGCAGTCGAGATGCTCGACTGCTGTGTTCTCCACTCTTGAGCTGTTGTCTCTGTCCTCCGTCAGGAGTAGGGGCAGTTCTTCATTTCTGCTTTAAATGTTCTGATGGAGGAGTAGTCGAGAGCCCAGGCCTTGTACACGAGGACCAGGGCCAGTGGCACTGACCACGTCCTTACCGGAGATAGGAAGAAGGCAGCGGTGCCGTAAGTGAGCAGCAGCATGTAGCAGCTGTAGAGTTGCCACAGGAAGAGTGCCATGATGAAGATGTGCATGGGCACAGTGCGGAGCCAGCCTGTGTACTTGGCGTGTGTCCAAAAGCAAAACCCTCGACACCGAAGGAGCAGACACCAGCTTAAGTAGCCCATCAGTGGAATATTAAAAAATGTCAGCTGAGTGAAGAAAAAGGAGAGAGAAGCTTCAAAAGTGGTGTTAAAACAGACATTAACTGTTACAATTAAAGGATTTGATTGTTAGAGATCATCACTTGCCCTCCCCTGAAGGATTCCCAATGCCCACCTCCCCAGACAGATTACTGCCAACCTGGTCTCTGAGTGGAGGTTCTGAGGCCTGGAGGGCTGCAGGAAGGGAAGTGAGAAGACTGGAGAAGCAAATACTAAATAAAAACCAAAAGACCTTCGGATGCTGTAAATCAGAAATTGCTGGAAAAGCTCAACAGGTCTGGCAGAATCTGTGAAGAGAAATCAGAGTTAAAGTTTCAGGCCCGGTGACCCTTCCTCAGAGCTGATGATAGCTGGGTAAAATGTCGGTCTAAATGTAGAGAGTAAGAAGTAAACATCAGGTGGGGATAAAGCCCAAAGAGAGAGAACAGCAGTTGGACAAAGAAGTAGATAACGATCTGGCTGGCTCAGCTGTTAATGACTAACAATAGGTAGTGTGTAATGGTATGTAATAACGAGATTATGTAATAACAAGGCCTGGTATGCAGAGAAGTAGGGCTTGGACATGGGAGAGTTTAGGCCCTAAAATTATTGAATTCGATATTGAGTGCAGAGGGCAGGAGGGTCCCCAAGTGGAAAATGAGGTGCTGTTCTTCCAGCTTGCACTTAGCTTTGCTGGAACACTGCAGCAAGTCTGAGACAGAGATTTGGCCGGTGAACAGGGTGGTGTGTTAAAGTGGCCCGCAACTGGAAGTTGCCCCCTACCCTACACACCAGGCCTTGTTATCACATAATCTGCCATTACACACTACCTATGATTAGCCACTAACAGTCTCCATTAACAGCTATTCACTTTCCTAGCCAGATTGTTACCTACTCCTTTGTCTGTCCAACTGTTCTTCACTCTCTTTGGACTCTAACCCACCTATCATTTACTTCTTACCCCCTCCCCCGACTCTATCTTCTGCATATAAACCGACGTTTTCCCAGCTACCATCAGTTCAGAGGAAGGGTCACCGGACCTGAAACGTTAACTCTGATTTTCTCTTCACAGATGCTGCCAGTCCTGCTGAGCTTTTCCAGCAACTTCTGTTTTTGTTCCCGATTTACAGCATCCGCAGTTCTTTCGGTTTTTATTTAGACTGAAGAAGCAGTCTGCCTGACCTCCGTCCCTACAAACCAATCAATCCTGCCAGGTCTTCATTATTGTGCTGCACTCCCCGCTTCACGACCCACACCAGGCATGACAGAAACCTGCCCTTAGTTAAACCCTTCCCTGCCTTAGGTCTGGTTGTATACTGCTACCTGACCGCCCAACCCTCCTTCCACACTCCTTCAAACCAAGGTCTGAGAGTGCTGCTGCTGCTGTACCCCACCAGACGCAGCACCCACCCCCTCCAGTTGGTAAATCTGGAATGGCAGTGCCAGCCTGTGATGTCCCCTTGTGGTGGAGTGCCACTGGACACACATTGTGCTATCTCTGGATTACATACAACCAACAGCACAGGGCACTTCAGCTGTTTCCTCTTTGGCTGCCCCGGACAAATTTTTTTTAAACATTTTTTCCGGGGTTCCCAGGAAGTTCACGTCATGGACACAGGACAGGAAGCCAAATGCTGGGAGAATTTCAGAAAACCTGGGATGGTCAGTCACCCTGGAACAGACTGCCTCCCTAAGTCACATCTGAGGGCAATTAGGGTCGATGTTGGAGTCACATATCAGCCACACCCAGGTATAGACAACAGGATTCCTTTCCTAAAGGGTCAAATGTTCATTTTTACAAAAGCCACTAGGGAATTTGCAGGCTCTTTTACTGATTCCCATGTTTTCTTTCCAGCTACTTCAAACTGAATTAAAATACTCTGACAGCAAGGTATATGGTAACTCTCTTTCCCTGCAATATTAGTTATTGATTATTATTTGTAATTATTATTATTTGTTATTGGATTATTACTCTCTATGGCTGGATTACTATAGTCTCGTAACATAAAAACTCTACACTCTTAGTGCTCCACAAATGATAGAATCACTATGAAATATTATTCCAATAGTACAGTCAAATACTAGTTCAAAATTGGATGATTCAAATCGCTTGATAATTCAGGAAGTTTGTTACTTTTCTCCTGCATACAATCTTGCAACAAAGCTATTAAAAAAAATTCTCATCTCTGATTTTTTTCTATCGATTGTCTTAAATCGGTGCCCTCTGGTTACTGACACCTTCACTAGTGGAAACAATTTCTCATTAATTACTTACTGAAACCATGGCTCACACACACACAACTCTTCTAACCTTGTACCAATGTTACCGAACCAGTGTTAATCTCAATGCTATTAAAAGTCAATGAAACAGGATCAGTACAGCGTATGAGGAATGATTGTGGAACTGTTGCCTGCTCTTTTACCTGAAAGATTCCAAAGATGAAAGTCAGGCTTCCCTCCAAGAAATAGCCATCCACCACGACCCCAAAGACAAAGCAGGCTCCAAAATGGCCATCTATCACCTCACCAACAAACCAGGGACCTACAACATGGGAATAGTAAATGCTGAGGAGTTTCACATGTAACCTCTCCTTGGTGCTGACACCACACTTAAAAATGGAGAATTGGGGAAAGGGTGGGGGGGCAAGTATTTCCTGCTACACCAGCTTGGTGATAAAAGCTTCCACAAGCCTTACAAATATCAAAGGGTCAACTGATTGGCTTTTAACATTGATCTTGGGACAGCTCACCAAATACGCCAAATACAAGCAATGATAGACATTGAGAATCAGTTATATTTCATCACTGAGATTAGGGAATTTGAGTGGCACGGTGCAACGAAGATAGAATCTAATCAAACACTTCTGATTATTAAAAACTGAAAGTAGTTCTCAGGAAAAGTCACCGGATCCGAAATGTTAACTCTGATTTTTTTCTTCACAGATGCTGCCAGATCTGCTGAGCTTTTCCAGCAACGTCTGTTTGTGCTTCTGATTATTAACATGCTTTGCAATCTAGAATTAATTTTCCACAGATTATAAATGAGCTGAATGATTATAAATGTTTTTCTTGTTTTGAAATTTTTCTTCCTTCATTTCAGTCTTGAAAATGGTTTCTACCTCCTAAATTATATTTAATGCAATAACAATCTATTATCAGTTAAATTGAGTTTAACACTAATCATAAAAATGTATTAGTTTGGCACAGGGCACAGTGATGGACCCAGGGCTTTTCACGTGTACTGTGTGGCCTTAGCAACAAGAATAGCTTACATTTATACTTCAAATTGAAAGTTACAAAACACCTCGAGAAGAGTTATCAGACAAAAATTGGCATTATGCCAAAGAAGGAGATATTAGGATAGGTGATCAAAATCCTAGTCAGAAAGATAGGATTTAAGGCTGAGAGAGGTGGTGAGGTTTAGGAGGGGAACAACAGAGTTTAGCATCTCGGAATTGTCAGCATGGTGCGGCATCTGAAATTGGAGGTCATAGATCCCTACAGTATGGAAGCAGGCCATTCGACCCATCAAGTCCCACCAACTCTCCAAAGAGCATCCCACCCAGACCCACTTCCTTTTCCTGTAACCCTGCATTTCCCTTGGCTAATCCATCTAGCCTGCATCTCCCTGGATAATATGGGACAATTTAGCATGGCTAATTGACCTAGCCTGGACATCTTTGGACTGTGGGAGGAAACCCACGTAGACAAAGGGAAAATGTGCAAGCTCCACACAAGTCGTCACCCGAGGCTGGAATCGAATCCAGGTCTCTGATGCTGTGAGGCAGCAGTGCTAACCATAGAGCCACCATGCTGCAGAGGATAGAGTTGTGGAGCTGGCAGAGGTTAGAAAGGGAGAGAGGGATGAGGTCACAGAGGGATTCAAAACCAAATGATGACAGATTTAAAATATTGGCATTGCCAGATGAGCAGAAAACATGAATGGTGCATAATTTCACAATTGGGAAAGTGTTCTTTCAGATACAATATAACTAAGTCAAATTTTTATTACATAATAAGCTCTGAGAATGGGCAAAGGAATTTAGAAATACTTTGAGATATGGAATTGATAGAGTAAAGATGTAGATTGTTCTCTGTTGTCACAACCGTGGGTAATGACAAGTGTAAACTGCTTCAATGAACATTTGGACATTAACTTGCTCTGAACACACTGTGTCCAAGGTGCTTTACAGGGCTACTGCCTGCAAATACATACTGACTCTCTTATCTTATGGGAGCTCTCAAAGTATCCAGTCACCCCGTTTAATGACAAACTCTAGTAATTCCCTAAAAGATGACATCAGGGTAACAGGCCTTTAATTACCAGTTTCCCACTCCCATCCTTTTTTATAGAGCAGAGTGAGATGCACAATTTTGCAAATTAAAGGGGAGGTAGGCATGGGTGGACACTCAGAGGAAAGATCTTTCCAGGTTACTTCCTCTGGAATGGTCCTCTCCACATATTTCTGTACTTAGAGTTGCCAATCCTCCAGGATTGTCCTGGAGTTTAGAGGAATTGAAGATCAGTCTGCGCTGCAAGAAAACTGGGAGGAAAGTAATGAGCGACTAAAGTTGGATTAGCAACACCCCATGGAACTGAATGGGAGTCCCATGCAGGTTACAAGTCGGTTCCTTTAAGCTTAAAAAGACAGCACAAATGTGCAGGGAACTTCAATACTGTTAGATTGATGCTGAATTAATTACTCACCCACAGCCACATAGCAAGTGAACAGCAACACAGGATAGTAGAACATGTTTGTCTTACACAACACATGAAACGAAAATAACATCAGAGTGAAGGCACTAGGGCTCTCTAGTTTGGAAAAGAGATTGAAACAATTTTAGTATGAAATTAATGCAATTTTACATTTAAAAGAGAGAACATCAACTGCTACAGAGGGAGGCCATTTGGCTATCATGCTAGTGCAGATTCTTTGAAAGAGCTGACCGATTAGCCTTACTCTCCTGCTCTTCCAGAGTCCTGCAAACTTCAACTTGACCAGTACTTTTCCAGTTCCCTTTTGACAGTTATTATTGAATATGTTTCCAGATCAGAACAATCTCACTATGCTAAAGTTAAATTGCCATCTCCCATCTGATTATCCCATTTGCTTACTTTTTTGACTTTTTAAACTCTTGCTCCCTGTTCAAACTTCACTCTACAAGCCACTGTCCACAGCACTGTTTAACAGACAGAGAACGATCTCTAATCGCCCAAGTGGCCCTTTCTCAGATGTGAATGTTGAGAGATACAGGAACACAGAACTGAGGGAGGTAAAGGGAAAAGAAGAATTGCAGCTGAACTACAATTGTAGGTGGTAGTTGCTATGTGATTATGCACCCCAATCCAAATATTCCTTCTCATTGATGCCAATGGGTGTATCAATGTTAGACGTGCAGATCCCTTTAACAGTCAACCAGAACACTCCAGACTGATTTGATACCAGCGATGATCAATGGACTTTGTATTTAAAAGCTGGATTGGCACTTACCAACTCCATTTTGATTTAGCCCCATCCTGGTCTCCCTCATTTTTGGTGATCTGCATTGCCTTTCATCTGCTTTACATGTCCCACCTACTCCAGAGGTGTCATAACATTTCCGAACGGGTTGATTAGAAATTATTGTAAATTGGGTAGGGAACTATGGTGGTGCAGTGGTAGTGTCCTTACCTCTCTGCCAGGAGGCCCAAGTTCAAGTCTCACCTACCCTGGACATGTGTCATAACATGTGCTAAAAACAAAGCTAAGTCTTTAAAGAAAAAAGAGTTGGGTTGTCTCCAGGGTAGCGTAGCTGAGTGGTCTAAGGCACTGGATTCAGATTTGTGTCTGATTTCTTTGCATCGAATTAAGTGGTAATGTCCCTAACTCTGGGCCACGAGGCTTTGGTTCAGGTCCTATCTGCTCTGGAGTTGTATCACAATGCATCGAAACAATTTGATTAGAAATAAAGAGCTGGGTATCAGTCTGTTAAACATGGTGCATTACTACTAATTCAGTAATGATCTAATTTCTTTAGGAGTGCCCGTGTAAGATAAATTTTTACACTATAATTAAAATGGCCAACCTCCTCTGCCCTAGTGTATGTATCTCACTCGACATACTAAGTCTGAGGGGATAACAAAGATGCATCTGCAATAGAGCTGAATATTTTCTTGAAGATTTATCCCAGTTAAAAACAGAGCACTTCTCCAGCATGTAGTTCAGCTGAGAGCTACTGCAAATACACTTCTTTCAACAGCATTTAAAATTAAGCACAAATAGGTGAACTTACCTTTAAGCTGCGGTTTTCTTTGGAACCGAACGGCAATGATCAAGCAGATATTAGCCAGAAAAACCAGAATAAATATAACCTTGGCCTGTAAAACAAAGGCACAGCCAGAATCAAACTAACATTTTATCTTTAGAACCTCACTTGCTTTACACAATTCCTATCTTCCATAAAGGTCATTTTGAATGATGCCATCTTACTTTGTAAGCCTTAGCTCTCTTCGCAAGAGAGGGGCAATGAGTGACAGTGTGGCAATGAACCAAACACATACAGCAACAGGACCAACTCTCATGAAATAAAATCAGGGACACTCTGACCAGGTGGGGGGGTGTGGGAAATGAACTAGTGGCTAAGAGATCAAGATGCGTTCTTTGCAGTTAAATTATGATGTATCACATAAATATGAAAGTCTGTGCCCTAATGTAGTTTGTGAAGTTTTTATTATTTCATAAACTTGCATTGATATCAAGCAGCTGCACATTGAAATAACTCCACACAGGCTGGTATCTTGTAAATAAAGGGTGACTTTGTAACAAGTGGCAAGTCCTTTACAATGATCCAGCTTCCTCACAGCCAGCTCTCAAGTGAGCTGAACATCTGACACTCCTGTTCTTATCTGTCAGCTAGGGGTCCCTGATTGGACCAGATTACCAGCCCCAATCAGGAAACTCTTATTCTATGAGGTCCACATGGCTGACCTCATTACAATCGCTCCACACATGTTCCTGTTACAAGCTTTCTCAAGATTGACAACTTAACAAAAAATTTGTACTTCCAATTAATAGCTGAAAAAAATGACACAACAAGACGTGACATTTAAAAACTTTCCTTGTATCAAACTTCTAAAAAAGCAATTAAAGCCTCTTTTTCTTTTAGGCAGGTTATACTTCAAACTACAGAAAAGAATGTTCTCTTTTATACTTATCAAACATCTCCCTCTCCACAGAATACCGATAGTCCACAGTTGCTCCCAGCTTAGAATGGATGCACATTTCCCCATTTCGCCTAGTAGTAACCTGACTAGCAACCAGACACTTCTCTTAGTTTACAAAGAGTTGCTCAAACTCCCTACCAGCTGTAAAGCCAGTTTTGATCTGGTTATATCTGGAAAAATCTCCTGAAATCCTTAGAAATGCCCCTGATGGACTGCTTCTAGAAGAAGAGACCATCACTCTCCTACATCCAATTGTGGTAGTTTACAAAGCCAAGGAGCCTCTTTGCACTCTGCTAATCATTCAAGACTGCTGTCTGTCTATGATAGTCATTGATTTGTTAGGAAGCCTATTTCCAAAATGGTTTTCTCTGCACTCCTCCCTCATAATCATCAGAATCATCTCAGCCAGCTCCATCCCACCCTGATAGCCGCTAGCATGTTCTAAAGCCCTTCTGAGAATTTGAACTTGGTCATCTTCAAAGGATGAACTGCACTAAAATGAATACTTTCCTCATGTTATACTCCTGATGCCACTTTTCTTGCTCACTTCACAAGTCTATAAATCTCTACTACATGTCTGCAACTTTATGAAAGTTTGCATTCCCACCTGGCTTTGCATTGACAGAAACCTGCACTCATTCCCCTTGCCTAAGTCTTTAACATTGATTGTAAGGAACTGAGATTCCAGCTGTGATGCATGCAATTTTCCACTCAGCCTGCAAACCTGAAAATGACTCAAAACTGTTTTAACCGTTCATCAATCTGTGCTCATATATTAATCCCATTTCGCTAAATCCTTATGGAATGAATTTTAGTGCAGCATCTTATTGGAAGCATTCTAAAAATCCAAATATACTACATTCAATGGTTCCCATCATCTATGCTGCCAGTTATAACCTCAAAACACTTTAATGGGTTTGTCCTTTCATAAATCTGTTTTGACTTTGACTGATGGTATTATGATTTTAAGTGGCCTGTTACAACGTAATGAAAATTAGATTCTAACGGTTTCCCTATGACTAATTGCAGACTGATGAGACTATAATTCTGTTTTCTCTCTTCTTCCTTTTTTGAATTATATTTGTTGCCCTCAAGTCTAAGGGGACTAATTCTGGAATCTAGGGAACTTGAAGATGAAAATCAATGCATCCATCATGTCTGCAAGCCCGCTGTTCAAACTTTAGGAACATTTGCCATCAGGTCCAGGGAATTTGCTGCTTTCAGTCCCATTCATTTCTCCTGTAATTTTCTTGCACTAATTAATTAATTCAAGTTCCTCGTTGCCACTAGACATTTGGTTACATAGTTTATTCGAAATCTGATACAAAATACTTGTTTAATATCACGGCTATTTTTCCTTCTTACCAATTATAATTTTCTTCTGGGACTTGTGTTTACTTTTGCTACCTTTTTAGATATATTAGAGCCTTAGAGTCATAGAGTAATACAGCAGGTAAACAGATTCTTCAGCCCAAACTGGTCCATGCTGACCATGGTGCCCACTCAGCTAATTCCAATTGCCCGCATTTGGTCTATATCCCTCTAAACCCTTCCCAGCCATGTACCTATTCAATTGCTTTTTAAATGTTGTTATTGTTCCTGCCTCAATCACTTTTTCTGGCAGCCCATTCCATATACGCACCACTCTCTGCTTGACAAAGTTGCCCTCAGGTCCTTCTTAAATCTTCCGCCTCTCGCCTTAAACCTATGCCCTCTAGTTTCCAATTCCCCATCTCTGGCAAAAAGACTATATGCATTCATCCTACCTATGCCCCTCATGATTTTATACAGCTCAATAAGATATATACGCCTCATTCTCCTAAGTTCCAAGGAATAAAGTCCTATCCTGGTCAACCTCTCTCTATAACTCAGGCCTACTAGTCCTGGCAACATCCTCATAAATCTTCTTTGCACACTTTCCAGTTTAACTATGTCTTTCTTATAACAGGGTGACCAAAACTGTACATAATACTCCAAGTGCGGCCTCACCAATGACTTGTACGACTGTAACCTAACATCCCAACTCCCATACTCAATGCCTCAACCAATGAAGGCCAGCTTGCTAAGTGCCTTCTTCACCACCCTGTCTACCTGTGATGCCGCTTTCAACAAACTATGTACTTGTAGTCCTAGGTCCCTCTGTTCCACAACACTCCTCAGGACCTTACCATATACTGTCTACGTCCTACCTTGGTTTAACCTTCCAAAGTGCAACACCTCTCACTTATCTGTATTGAATTATATTTGCCAATCCTCAGCCCACTTCCTCATCTGATCAAGATCCCTCTGTAATTTTTGATAATCTTCTTCGCTCTCAACTATACCTCCGAATTTTATATCATCTGCAAACTTACTAATCATGCCTTGTACATTCACATCCAGATCATTTATATAAATAACAAATAACAAAGGTCCTAGCACCGACCCCTGTGGCACACCACTAGTCACAGGCCTCTAATCCAAGAAACAACCTTTAACCATCACCCTCTGCTTCCTAACATCGGGCTAATTTTGAATCCAATTAGCTAGTTCTCCCTGGATCCCACGCAACCTAACTTTCATAACTAGCCTGCTGTGTGGGACCTTGTCAAAGGCCTTACTAATGTCCATATAGACAACATTCACTGCCCTACTCTCGTCTCTCCTTTTGGTTACCTCTTCAAAAAACTCTAAAAGATTTGACAGACATGACTGCCCGTGCGTAAATCCATGCTGACTATCCCTAATCAGACCTTGACTATCCAAATGTTGGTTGATCTTTCCCTCTCCAATCTTTACATTTCTTCTATGTTTAGTCTAATATTCTATTTTCTCCCTCTTTATAAATGTCTTGGTCATCCTTTATTGAATTCTAAAACACTTCCTATCTCCAGGCTTTCTACTCTCCTTGGCAACACAGTGACCCTTATCTTTGTACTTTATTTTCTTGTTAGCTACAGTTGGACAACATTTCTTGAAGCTTTTATTCCTAAGGGAATTGGTACTTATTGCAAATTCTGAACTTTTTCTTAAAATGTTTAACATTGCCTATCTACTGCCATGCACTTTAATCTAATTTCTTAATCCATCTCAGTCAATTCACCCCTTAACCCCACATCATGAGTTTTGTTTAAATTTACTCAACAAACAGGACAGTAGAGCAATGAATCAATTCATACCTTCCTGTAAATGTTCACGTGCTTTTACTCCTCTTGATGGTTCTAAAACCTATTGTGTAAATGCACATACAAACAACACTCCAGTTGTGACCTCTAACCAATGTCCTTACTTGCTGTGGTTTTGAAATCATTATGCATACTGACCATAAAATAATGTCGCGTCAGGAGGATGAATGAAGCCACAAGGTCAAAAGGGAGCAGTCTCATCTCTTCTACTGCAAAGTCATGACCTTTAACCGTAGTTCTTCCAACTGTGTCCTGAAAACACAAAGCAAAGTGACTCGGTGCAAGTGCAGAATAGGGTTTGTGGCTAATTCACCCCAAACTATGGTTCAAGTATGTTTCTATCAAAGGAATCTAAGAGTCCCAAGCACTGGATCTGTAAAGCAGACCAAAGCCCCATTTAGGAGATGCTTGACTGGGAAGAAGCTAGCAAAGCTACATGGCTCCTGCTAGTGGGGCATAGTGTTTTCAATCTGATCACAGGCTATGTGACCTCTTAGCACACTAAAACAGGTCAAGTATTCACCAATGCTATTACTGTCTTCAATGATGCCCACCCAACATGGAGCTAGGTCTTGCCAGATCAGGAAAGGTTCCATGACTCTGCACCAGTGTACGTAGATTCTGCAGCATGTATTAGATTTGAACAGAAGGGCTTCAACAAAGGGTCATGCCTGTGAGTTGGATATTGGCCAAGTTAACATCAGGCAAAGACTTGGAGATTCTGGCTCACAATAACAGCATCTTCCCTTCAAAGTTTCAGTAACAAAATAACAGTTGTTTAGTGAATGACAATTTTAAATTCTCAGTGTTATTCTTAGCATAGTTTGAGATTATTTAGCAAACGTTAGTGAATTGTAGAATCAGATGAAATGATGCTGTGTTTTAAGTTTTGCAAGCATGGACTGTTTACAATTATGCTGAGAACGCATTTAAGATTGTCAGTCAGCCTCATAATGCAGTGCCCTTGCACACACTGGGAGCTACATACTTCAATACACAGGCCTCTGCTCTTTGCAGACAGAAACAACATGTGTACACATTGTACATGTTTCAATTTAACAAAACAGGTGACAATCTTCTCTGGTAAAGGTATTTTCCTGAGGAAGGAACCAATCAATCAGAATTAGCCTGCCTGATTTAAATTAACAAAACTTGACAGTTAACTGTCATGGCAATACCTCAACTAATCAACAGCCACTTGGAGCTTCAGTTCTTCTTCAGATATTAGTGAGAGCATTGTCTGACCTAAAATGTCACTTTTTTACAGTGATAAAATCTTTAGTTCTCTCAGGACCGGGACTTGAAAGGAATTCAGGAATTTACATATACATATCAATCAAATAAAACCTTCTGACTGATTAAAGATTTAACAGCATCTTAGGTTTGTTTAGGACATCCTCATCAATGGTGTGAACCTTTGATCTTTTACATATGAATTCTGTGTCTGATACTACCTCTCTTACTAGCACCTGAAGGAGGACTAAGGCTCCGATTGTGTTTTCAAATACACCTGTTGGACTATAACCTGGTGTTGTGTGATTTCTGACCAGGTGCGGTGGGGAGCCAGCCCTCTAGAAAGAGTTGGAAGTTCAGTTACTGGAAGCAGTGCAAATCTTTACTTGTGCTAGGCTCAGGTTGCACTCCAGTTGTCCTTTTAAGGACTAGTTAAACAATCAGTGACTTGTACAGGGTAGTCAAGTGGAGTGCATGCCACGCCATTTTCGTGATCTACACAAAACAATATGTCACCTCCCGTCACCATCTTTGTTGCCTTGGATTGCTGGTATTATTCATTCATTTTACTTATGATGCTCCTTCTGCTAAGGAGGAACACCAAAAATGGTTATACTTCAAGTGTAGTCAGAGGCTATAAAGCACCTGAAACAGACGAATATTGCTAGAGCTCTCAGCTTGATAGCAACAATGGTGAGAACAATTATTAATAACACTGACAAAATAAGAGTGTGTGGAAATTCTTAAATTCCAATGACTGCTGTTACATTAAATAGATACAATCCGAATGGAATTATAATGGACATGGAAAAATTACAATCCATTTGTATTGAACATCAAACTTGGCAATGCGTCCATCTTAGATTAGTGCTTACTTTAGAAAAGGTTAGGAGATTGTACGATGATCTTAAGAAAGACTATGGTGCAAATTCAAACAGAACCATTTGATGCTGGTCATGGATGGTTTGCAAAGGTAACGAAATGGGAAAACTTGCAAAAGATTGCTAGAAGTTAGAAAGCTGTCAGTGTTGATGATGAAGTAGCTGAAGACTTCATTAAGTAAAATTGTGTGCACAGTTCTGGTTGGCGCACTATAAGAGGTATATGGAGGCTTTGGAGATGGTGCAAAAGAGGTTTACCAGGATGTTGCCTGGATTGGAGTGTATTAGCTATAAGTAGAGGTTGGACAAACTTGGACTGTTTTCGCTAGAGCATCAGGAGCTGACTAGCGACCTGATAGAAGTATATAATACTATGGGAGGTATGGATACGGTAGACAGTGTCTTTTTCCCAGGATTGGAATGTTGAATGCTACAGCCTACAGGCTTAAGGTGAGAGGAGGATTGGAATGTTGAATACTACAGGTTATAGGTTTAAGGTGAGATGAGAAAGTTTAAAGGAGATGTGCTAAGAAAGATTTTTTACGCAGAAGGTATAAGGTTCCTGGAAGGTGCTGCCAGGGGAAGTGGTCGAAGGAGATACCATAGCATTGTTTAAGAGACATTTGGATAGATACATTAACAGGCAGAGAAATGAAGAGATATGGAACATGTGCAGGCAGACGGGATTAGTTTAGAATGGCATCATGGTTAGCACAGTGGGTAGAAGAGCCTGATCCTGTGCTGTACTGTTTGATGCTCTAAGTTCTAAAATCAGTGAGAAGGGTGGATTCACTCCTTAACAAGTGCTTCATGTTATTGAGAATGGTCTACTCTAGAAAAAGATGCCCTTCAAGGCCATCCATTTCAAGAGAAGAAGAGTATGCCAAGTTTTAAAGAAAAAAAGGATGGTCTGAAATTGTTGCCCGATGGAAAGGCAGCAATTGATTTTAAAGTGAAGTTGTGCTTTATGAAGGGTTTTTCAAAGAAGATGCCATTAATTGTTTGGACAGCAAACAAAAAGGCATAGGTAAGCCATAGACCATTTTCTAGCTGTCGAGGGTAAAAAAATGATACGTTTCAATCTAGGGACCACTCTATGCGAGACTGTGGAAGGTAGGACAACCTTCAAGAGAACAGTGGCCTGACTGATCTAGAAACATTCTTGAGGAATCTAGTAACATCAGGGTTGCTAACTGAAGAACTTAGTTTTGTTTTATTTAATTGTTAGCTGGCAACTTCTGTGAAACAGTTGAGGTGTGTCAGTGACAGAGCACTGCACAGCTGCCAGTGAGGTTTTTAACATATGATTCAGGTAAGATGGGACAAGTAGCAACAATTCAGTCTTCATCTGAATAGATCAGATCAAACAAGTGATTGAAAGAGATACGGCACTATTGACATCAAAGGAAATTGCAGGAGGTTGACCATGAGACAAATATCTATTAAATATCTGGATGTTGTGTTTAGAAATGACAGGCGACTGTGTAAGTATGACAAGAGTCAGAGTACAGAATGCAACATGTAGAGATTTGTTGATTCTTTTCCAACCCAGAGTCTCCAGAACAACCCAGAACATATCAATTCTGATAAAACAGAGGCAGTTCATTCTGGATTAAATTTATTTTTCCTTAAATAAAGTAAAGCACACAGTCAGAAACGGAACACTTCAGTGAACAGATTGTCACCACCCTTTGACAATATATACAGCAGGCTTGCCTTACGAACAGCTGGATTCCAAAACCCTTTGGAACCTGTTCTCCAGGTTCTGGATTGGTCTGGAGTGAAGACAGTATGAAACCCCTCAAGTCTAATTTCAAAAAATAATGTACTTATTTTATTGATATTGGAGATATTTTGTATCATGTAGTGAGTACAATGACCTGATCACCATAAGCTTGGTAAATATCAAAATCCTACTGAAAAGCACTGGGTTGACCATCTTCTAAACTCAAGACCACACAAACAAATTTATGGACATTGATCACATCTGTGGAGGTTCAGGTTAAATGAACAGATTTTGTAATACTGATTCCCTCAACTGATTATATTATATATAACTGATTATAACTGATAAGTATTATATCAAATCATCTGCTGATACTCACATCGAAATTACCAATAATAATAAAGAATAACTGGTGTCTCTGGGATCCTAATTGTACTCATCAAAAAGAAAAGGGAGGAACAAAGATAATTAAATCTCTTAAGAGTCCTGAATTGATCATTTTGATCTCAATCTATTCAACAGAATCCTTTGACAAACAGTCTCATAACAGGGCATACCAGTGAGAAAGGTATACGTACGTTACCTCAGCTCGGACTTCAATGTAGTGCATTCCTTCCCTGTAATCCTCAGGCCTCCAGGTTATTGAGAAGAATGGGCCATCAATATGAACCGCACTGCCTATAGTGATACCATCAATACTGATCAGGACTGAGGTGATTTGTGATGGCGAGAAGACTAGAACCCTAAAGAAGAAACATAAACCACATAATTAATCGCACTTGACCTACAAAACCTAATTAAATCACCTCAGGAGATAGTTCTGTATTTTACACTGACCCATTGAATTTTCAAGAAATCCACTGCAAACTTCAGAACTGGCTATGGATGGAGTACACTGGAGAATTACCAAAACTGTAGCAGATTGAGTGTTTTCAGTTATGTGGTTTGACTGGAATAGTCAGGAGTTTTCTTAGAACAAAGAAAGTTGAAGGATATTTAATGGGCCTGATCAAAATTATGTGCTTATAGAGATGGGGAATAATTATTTCCACGAGGGGAGGGCCAGTTACCCGAGGACAGAAAATCAATACCATTGGCAAAAGGACATAAGACACAGAAGCAGGAGTAGGTCACCTGACCCATCAAACCTGCAACGTCATTTGGTTCAATTCATTTGTCACTCAATTATAACCTCAACTCCACTTTGCTGTCTGTCCACACAATAACCGTCAACTCTCCTGTCAAAGCTCCGCCTAACTCAGCCTTGATGACCCAGCCTCCACTGCTCCTTAGAGAAGAGAATTCCAAACACCAACAACTCTCAAAGAAGAAATGGCTGCCCATATCCATCTGAAATGGGAGACCTTTCATTTCAAAACTGTGTTGTCTTCTTCTAGACTCTCCCATAGGGTGAAACAACCTCTCACATATGGTCTTGCCAATATCCGATTCAGCTGTAGCAAGGCTTCCTACTTTTATCTTCCATTCCACTTGCAATAAAGGCTAATGTTCTAATTGCCCTCCCAATTACTTACTGTCCCTGCATGGCAGCATTTTGTGATTTATGTACAAGGACAGCTAGATCCCTCTCTACTGCAGTATTCTGCAGTCTCTCCATTTATAGAATATGCTGTTGCTCCTTCAAAAGTGGACCACACATTTTCCACATTATACTCCATCTACCAAACTTTTGCTCACCCACCTACTTTGTGTATCTACATCCTTTAATACTTTATACCAGCCTCACAATTCTCTTTCCTACCTGTTTTGTATAATCAACAAATTTGGCAACAATATAATTGGGTTCCTTTATTCAAGTCATCTAGATCATAAATAGTGAGGGTCCAGAACTAATCCCTAGTAACCAGTTACAGGTTACCAACCTGAAAACGATCCACGTATTATGACTGGAAAAAAGAATTAAGTAAACACAGGGAGATTATTAGTTTTTACACTGTCCTATTCTAGAAAGCATTGTATGAAAGGCATAAGGGAAAAGATTCAGCAGTAACTTTCAAAGGGAATGCTTTAAGGGAAAATCACTGCAGTTCTCTGGGGAAAGAGCAGAGAGTTGTGATTAACTGAAAATAGCTCTTCCCAAGACACAGACACAATTGCTTTGGGCCGAAAGCTCTGTTTGTGTTGTGAAAAATCTATAATTGGTCCTCAATTGTGGAATTGCTGCTTGTTGTGAGTGGGAAAGGGTAACTTTACATAAGGTAGGTTGCCTGAAAAGCTCCCAGTTCTCCAGGATCACTCTGGCGTGTCAGTGCTCAGAATAATCCCAAAGACAAATCAACGTGAAGACTTGGAATGATATTTTATAACAAATAACCCTGATAGCAGTGCTGTAGGAAGGCACGACTTCACATGGGTAAGCTTGTAAGGTCACCAATGGTGGGGTGGTAGTGAAATCTGCCAGAATAATCTACGGTTGGAAATTGTGGTACACTCTAAATCTGGTTCTGTGAGAGGCTAAAAGCTTGCTAGTCAACTCAACTACTGAAGGTAACTGTAACTGACTGTATAACCTAATAAAGAAGTTAGTGAGAATGAAAAAATAGCTCACAAAAATCAAAAGGTAGCCCTCAAGAAAATCTCAAATGTGCCCTTGAAAAAAAGAAAAAAAAATTGTGTCCTGGTGCTGGGTCAGAGGTTGTGTTTGATACAATTTCAAGTGAGGACAGGAAGCTGGAGACAAACATTGAAGGGAAGTGCTCTGAATTGAGGAATTTACTGCTCAATAATGGACAAAGGGTGAACAGAACACTTTATCATAACTATAAACTACAACTTTTAATCACAACTACTGCTACCATTTTTATCATATAACAGCTGTTTGCAATGATTCAGCTAGTGTTCTTTTACACATCCTCTGAACATACCTTTTGATTCTTAAATTGTTCTATTATCCCATTTAATCTTGGTTACAGACCTTCCTTTTAGTTCTTTCTTTCCACTCTCCGAAACTTTAACTCGGTTTCTGTACATTCTTATAAATAATATTATCCATGAACTGCAGCATCAACCATAATCAGCTCCTGCATGTCATCTAGCATTACCTACACATCAGCAACAATGGGCAAAAGGAGATTCAACCAACATATAAAGATTTTAAAGGGTTTGGTGGTTTTAAAGCTGAGGTAGCCACTCAAAGACATGTATGATTGGGTTTTTTCTCAGTCCAAACATCCATTCAACTGTCAGGTCAGTGGTTACAATGTCACTTTTGTGCCAGAAAGTTTTGGGTTCAAGTCTCACTCTTGATATTTGAGGACACAGTCCTGTCCTGAGTGGGCGCTGCAATATTGTCATTTTCTGATGAATGTTGTTAGAGACATCTGCTCCCTCAAGATAAAAGATCCAATTGTGAGGGAGAGCACAGATCATTTTTCCACTGTCCTGGCTATTATTCATTGTTTCTACTGACATTGGTGAGCAGATTATTTGGTCAAGATTGCATTGCTGTTTGTGGGAATTTGTTGAGTGCAAATTAGCTGCTATGTTCCCTACTTTCTAACAGTTACTCAACTTCAAAAGGACTCATTTGCTGCAAAGTGTTTAGGACATCCTTAGGTTGTGAAAGACACTGTATAATGGACAAAAAGGTTCTTTCTTAGTAGCACAGTACTGGCTCAGTAATGAGGGAGTGGTGTACTGCAGGAGAGGACTCTAAATCCTCGGCCCCAGCTGACTGTTTCAAGTGACAGGTTGCTACTATTTTGAGAAGACTACTGAGTTCTCCTGATTAATAGACTATCACTTCTCTTTTGAACAAACTAGATTAACTGACAACTAATGGGTCTTGACCATGCAAAACTACTTCAATGGCCGTAAAGCACATTGAATATTATGACCTCTACAGAGACAAGCAGTTCAAAAATACACTCTTAAACTGGAAATGCACGTGGTTTTCCTCCTAATTAGAAAGTGGGACATTTATATCTCCTCAATTTCAGGATCAGCCATGGACTTGAGCATATTCTGCACTATTCCACCCATGACAACATTACCACTGAATTCTTGACATCCAAAGAAAATGCAATTAAATAACAGTTTGTGGGCTTTATAAATGGGAACATACAGTACAAAAGGAAGAAAGTTGTGATCAAACTGTACAAAACACTGAGTCAACTCAACTGGAATTGTCCCTCCTGTTTTGTACACCAGTGTAGAGAGCATTTGAGAAGGTGTAGAAAAGATTCATGAGAATGATTCCAAGCATAAGGAACTCTGATTACATGAATCTATTACAGAAGCTAGAATCATAGAATCCCTACAAGAGAGATAGAGGCCATTTGGCCCATTGAGCCTGCACCAACCTTCCAAACGGCATCCCATCCTATCCCTGTAAACTGATATAGTTAACCAACCAGCTTACACATCCTAGACACTACAGGGCAATTTAGCCTTGCCAATCCATCTAACCTGAACATCTTTGGACCAGGAACCTTTTAGAAGCATTGCTTTTCTTTGGGGAGAAGAGAAATTTTAAAAAGGATTTGATGGAAGTGTTCAAAATTACGAGGAGTTTTGAAATGGAGAGGGAGCAACTGTTCCTATCAGGAGAAGGATTGAGAACCAGATTGTACTAGTTTGAAGTGATTGTCAACAAAAAACAATAGTAATATGAAGAAAAGAATGTTCATATGGTGCCTGATCAGGATCTGGTAAGCACTGTCTGTGACTGTGGGGAAGCAGATTCAATTGACGCCTTCAAAAGAGAGTTGGATAAACATCTGGAGAGAAACAGTTTTCAGAGCTATCGGGAAAAGGCAGATGAGAGATCTAGATGAGTTGCTGTTACAGGGAAATGGCACAGATGTGACTGGTCAAACGTGCAGTATTTTAAAATCAAGGGAGTATTGATACTTTTAGTTATGAAGTTTTACATTTGGTGCATATGAAACAGGAAGATAATTATCTACCCGTGTAAAATACAAATAATTTGTGCCAGAGCAAAAGACTTGATCAGTCTCAGCAAACTGAATTGGCTCTATGTCAGAGTGCAACAAGCTTCCTACAACACTTGAGATTGATAACAAAGGTAAGAGCCCACGAGATCCAAGGAAATTTGGCATGAGCGGCAGAAAGCAGAGGGTGATGGTTGAGGGGTGTTTTTCCAACTGAAGTCCATGTCTAGTGGTGTTGCACAGGAATCAGTGTTGCTGTTTGTGGTTTATATAAATATTTTAGACTTGAACATAGGAGTGTTGATCAATAGTTTGCTGATGATATGAAAATTGGCAGGGTTGAAGAACCTTACATTACAGGAGGACATAGACGGGTTGATCAGTGGTAAACAGAATTCAATCTGGATAAAGGTGAGGTGATGAACTTGGGTTGGCTGAATAAGGCAAGGGAATACATGAATAATAGGACCCTGGGAAGACCTGAAGATCAGCGGGACCTTGGTGTGCATGTCAACCAGTCCCCTAAGGTAGCAGAGATAGTAGGAACTGCAGACGCTGGAGAATCTGAGATAATAAGGTGTAGAGCTGGATGAACACAGCAGGCCAAGCAGCATCATAGGAACAGGAAAGCTATTACACCATTAAAACTACTGTAAACAGAATGCAAGAGGCTGCAAGCAGATATAGACAGGCTAAATGAGTGGATAACAAGGTGCTGGATGGAATATAGTGTTAAAATGTGAGAGTTTGTTTTAATTTTAGGAATACAAAAACAGAACACATTTTAAAAGGTGTAAAACCTGTATATGTCATTTTCTACGAGATTGGATTTTATCATTGGCAATCACTTGCTAACGAGTATGATTGTCCACTGCAGGTTCATTAAATTGATTCCCTGGAATTACAAGGGTCATCCTATAGTGAGAAGCTGAGTTAGTTGGGCCGACATTCTCTGCTGTTAAGGAAAGTGAGAGCAATGTCATTGAAATATACACAATTCGAGTTGGGCATAAAGTTTGAGATGTCTAGAACATAGGAGCACTGTCTCAGGATAAGGGACAGTTCATGTGGGACTGAAATGCAGAGAAACTGTTTCACTCAAAGGGTTCTGAATCTTTAGAATTCCCTACCCAACAGAACTGCAGATGATCCATTTTTGAATATATTAAGGCTCAGCTCAGATAGATCCCTGGTCTCTCAGAGAATCTAGGAAAGTTAACAGTAACGTGAAGTTGAGGTAGACGATCAGCCATAATTGTATAAATCTTGATGGGCTGTACGATTTATTCCTGCTCCTATTTCTTGAGTTCTTACATCCTTCGCTGATAGGCTTATTAGTTACAAAGATGGCCAAAGGGAATCTAACAGAGAATAACAGAACACAAATTAACTCATACCTGATATGTGTAGAGTGCTTGATTTTCCCCAGAGGCTCATGTCCTGGGCTACTATATAGAGCAGATTTTGGATTTGTGATAAGGACTGCCGGCCACTTGTTTAAGTTTAGATCCACAAAACTAAACAGATCATGGTCAAATGCCAATAGACGGTACCTACCACAAGAAAAGCAAAAGATGCATGATATTTACACTCAGCTTAAACAAACTCATACAAAACGCACTTCAAATATGACCAGAGAATGTATATTTCCCCTCAAATGCAGTGACTACTTTTCCAATGACCCGCTTGATTACAAGTTCAGGTCTGATTCCTGAACTATAATGAATTAGCTGGTTACAACTGCAGGCATGGATTGGTTTCAGCTGAGTTCAGTTCCTGCAATTGAGTGTGCCTTTTATCCCCATCACGTATCTGCTGTCATCAGCGTTACTTCCACTCAATTCTTCTCCTGGGATATCTCTCTTCCAAAGTTTATCTCTGACATTGCTTGTTCCTGATATCATTCCTATCTGTATTACAATGCTTCAAATGGTTTCTCCTCCTGGATCCATACACTTCACTTTGGTGGATACTAGGGTTACATTTTCCACAATCCCCTCCTCCCCCATGTTAAATATTTACAAAATACACTTTGTTGATCAGCTTTGACCAATTTTTAACCACATTGTTCAAGGCGGTAGCTTATCCATCACCTTCTCAAGGTGATAATAAATGCATCGATACCCAAATCTCACAAATTAAATAAATACAACACACTCTGTCCCAACACTGTCCTACATGATTCCATGTCTAATTTTGCTTAATAACTTATTACAGTTAATGTCTATCTGCTTTGCTTCAGTATTTACCCTGAAGTAGCCCTCTTTTAATTGACTCCTTTTCTTTCCCTGGATGTACCTCAGGCTGAGGTCAAAGGTCTCAAATAATTTTGTACTGCTCCATGCCACAGTTCACTTCCTCTTCATGTAAATCGATTCCTTTTTTTCCATCTTTGTAATATAGTGCATAATTTCCTCCGCTTTCTTCCCAGAACTCCAAGCACGTTCATAACATTCCCTTTCCAACCACAATACACTGCTCATGCTCTGTACCATCATCGCTCTTTAGAACTCTGACCCTCTGCATCTCTGCCTTGTCAACCACCTCAAGATCCTCCTCATTGTTTGTTCTCATCATCCTGGTTATCTTTACTCCTCCCACACCAAAGCACACCCTGCCAACCTGAATGATAGCTCCTCCATCAGAAGTGTCCAGTGCCAAGAGAAATGTACCCAGTGAGCACCAATACTTGAGAAATCATCTGAAGTTTGCTCCTTCTCATTTCCAAAATGCAAGCTCTTTTCCTTGGATCCCCATTGAGTGGGAATCAACTCAATGTACCACCTCCTACTCAAACTCATATTTCCCAAAATGTGGGATTCTTTCATTGCTCTTTTAGAGTTTGTCTTTCAATTTACATTTATATAAGCAAGTTCCAATCCTCATGACTCTTGACTGCTCTCACTAGGGTCACAGTGGATCCTGTGCCATGCACTTAATACCGTGCAAAATGGGTGAAATGCCATGTGAAACAGTGTAGCTCTGAATCATAAAATGGCTTGTTGTCAGCCCAAAATGGATAGCATAAATACCATTGTATGCAACTGGCCCAAAACAGAAATCAAATAATAACTAAGGTTCTCAAGACAGGTGGTACAATGGCTCAGTGGTTAGCACTTCTGACGCACAGTACCAGGGACCCAGGTTTCATTCCAGCCTTAGGTGACTGTGTGAAGTGTGCATATTCTCCTGGTGTCTGCGTGGCTTTCTGCCTGGTGCACCAGTTTCCTCCCACAATCCAAAGATGTGTAGGTTAGGTGGATTGGCCATGGTAAATGAGGGATTATGAGGATAAGGCAGGGAATTCAGTCTGAGTAGGATGTTCTTCAGAGGGTCAACGGAGACTCAATGGGCTGAAGGGTCTCTTTCTGCGCCATAGCGATTCTATGATTCTCTGGTGAACAGATTGATCAAGGCACGAGAGGCAGACAACTTCTGTGGTTTTATTGGGAAATAAATTAACAAAGACAAAACTAATAAAATAAGCCAGAGTTGACACTGTTTTGATATTCAATATATACACAAAACCCCAGAACACTAGAAAGTCTAAACTGTTATATTACCAACTCAACACGTTCAACATTTAATTATGGTGCCCATCAAAACAATCCAAAGTTTTTCTCATGCACTATTGTAGATGTTATTTCAAAGGTACCAACTTCCGGTTGTCCATCCAGTCACCTAGCTCCAGTTCCAGTGTTCCTTCTGTGTTTCTGCTGTGCAGAACAGGCATGAGACCTCCCAGTGTGTGCAGGTGTCCACACAGGTATGCAATTGCAGAGCTGTAAAGTACAGAGAAGTTCCATTTACAAAGCTGAAAATTCAAACAAAATGTGCTCTTTTCTCACCCCTCTAAACTTACTTGAACGTTTGAAGGAACATAGGAGCAAGATTGGAACACTCACCTCCTTAAGTCCATGCCACTATTCAGTTTGATCATATCTGATCTGTATGCTGAAATCCATCTACCTGACTCAACAGTTCCAGAATTGTTAATCTTTCTGTAAACAGTAGCACCAACACTGAGCAAAAATCTGTTAGCACTGAAATTTTCAAATGATCTGAAACCTCAACAGCTTTTTGGAAGAGAATTCCAGATCGCTATGACCCAATGCATTACAAGTAACATTTGCATCCTACTAGAGCTAGGCAATAACCACCTCAATAAGAGAGATTCTAAACATCATTCCTGGATGTTCAATGGCAGTGACATTCCTGAATCACCCAAAAGCAAGTGAGGTTGGGAATTCTGCGGAAAGTAACTCAACTCGGAACTTCTCGAAGCTTGTCTACTATCTACGAGGCACAAGTCGGGAGTCTGTTGGAATTAACCCCACTCCCTACTTACCTGGATGAGTGCAGCTCCAGCAACACTCAAGAAGCTCTATGTGGGAATCGGAGTTCACACTAGCTGTGTATCTCAGTGAAGATCATCGCTCGTGAAATTGACACGGGGAGTTAAAACAGTGCCGACTCGCTGAATTGAAGGTGGAAGGTACAAGTCCGAGATGAGAGCACCTTCTTGGCTCCATATTATCTGAAGTCTGCATTATATGTCTTCTGCTGCATTGTACTTTAGTGTTAGTTTGTCCAGAATGTAGAGATCAAAGAGTAGAATTGGTGCGAGTGATTTGAGGGAACTATGTTTGCTATGGTGCAACTGGAATTGTTCAGAACAATTCCTGAATTCATTTGTGTGAATTTTGAATTCAGGAGCCATTCAGTCCATCATGCCTGCACCTATTCTATTATATAGTGCCAATCTCCTGGCTCCTTCCCAAACCCTTGCACATTATTTTTATTCAAATGATCATCCAATACCCTCTTGAATGCCTCAGTTAAACCTATCTCCACCACATTTTCAGGTGGTGCAATCCATATCCCAACCACTCACTGAGTGAAAACTTTTTGAAAACAAAAATTGCTGTAGACCATAGAATCCCTAGTGTGGAAACAGGGTCTTCGGCCCAACAAGTCCACACTGACCTTCAAAGCATCCTACCCAGACCTATCCCCTTATAACCCACCTAATCTACACATCCCTGAGCCACCTCACTATGGGCAATTTAGCATGGCCAAACCACCTAGCATGCACATCTTTGGACTGTGGGAGGAAACTGGAGCACCTGGAGGAAACCCTGCAGACACAGAGCGAATGTGCAAACTCCACACAGACAGTCACTTGAGGGTGGATTCGAACCCACATCCCTGGTGCTGTGAGGCAGCAGTGCTAACCACTGAGCCATCATGTCGCCAGGTCAGGCAGCATCCATGGACAGAAAGCAAGCTAATGCTTCGAGTCTAGGTGATTCTTCATCAGAGCTGACGTGAAGTGAAAACCTTTTCCTCATTTCACCCTTGCTTCTTTTGCATATCACTTTCAATCTATGTCCTCTCTCTTTTGAGGGCAGGAAAAATTTCTCCCTATCTAATCTATTCAGCCTGCTGATGATTTTGAAAACCTCTATCAGATCTCTTCTTATCCTTCTTCTCTCCAAGGAGCACAGTCCCAACTTCTTCAATCTATCCTCATAGTAAAGTTACTCATCACTGGAACAATTCTTGTATGCCACTTTAGTGCTCTCTCCAATCCATTCATATCTTTCCCATAATGCGGCATTCACAACTCCAGCTGAGATCTAACAAATGATTTGTATAAGTTCAACATGAGCTCCTTTCTCTTGCCCCTGTTAATAAAGCCAAGGATACTGTATGCTCAATTTCCTGGTCTCTCCATCTGTACTGCCACCTTCAATGATCCAAATACATATACTCCCAGGTCCCTTTGCTCTTGCACCCACTTTAAAACTGTACTCCCTATGTTACATGGTCTTTCAGTATTCTTCCAGTCAAAATGCATCACCTCATGCTCCTCTGCATTGAACCCCATCTGTTACCTATTCACATGCTCCACCACCTTGTCAATGTCCTTTGCAAGTTCCAAGCTGTTCTCCTCAGTTGACAATTCATATATCTTTACAGTAATCTGAAAGCAAAGGTGCCAAAACCCCTGGAGAACACCACTACGAACCTTCGTTCAACCTGAAAGATATCCAATAACCATTACTCTCTGTTTCCTATCACAGAATCCTATCACAGAATCTTCCCTACCACCTAAGAAAAACTGACTAGTCTGTAATTGCTGGGATTCTCCTTACAATCTTTCTGAATAAAACCATTTAGTTTGCATTGTTTCAAATATAATGGCCAGTGTCCCCACAAATTTCTACACTGCCTTCCTTCAAAATCCTTAGATGCATCTCACCTAGTCCCTGTGCCTTGTCAACTTTAAGTGCCAAAAGTGTATCCAGGACTTCCTTTTTAATTTTGAACCTTTCTAGTGACAGAGTTTCCTCTTCTGTCACCATGACCTGATCTGCATGCATGCCTTTCGTAAAGGCAGATGCAATGTATTCATATAACACCTCATCCATCCCTCCACCTCATTTGCAAACCCCTTTTTAGTCTCTGGCCCCTATTCCTCCTTCAACTAATCCTTTACTGTTTATGTGCCTATAGAAGACTTTGGGATTCCCATTTTTGTTAGCTGCTGTTTTTTTCTCATAGTTCCTCTTTGATTCGCTTATATTGTTTCACCTCCCGCAAACCTTCGGTATTCCTATTGATTCTCAATTCTATTTTCTGCATTACAGCTGTCACAAGCAAAATTTTTCTTTCTGATATTAATTTCTACTTCCTGTGTCATCCAGAAACTCTAGATTTTGGCGGCACAGTGGCTCAGTAGTTAGCACTGCTGCCTCACAGCGCCAGGAACCTGGGTTCAATTCCACCCTCGGGTGACTGTGTGGAGTTTGCACGGTCTCTCCGTGCCTGCAAAGGTTTCCTCCGGGTGCTCCGGTTTCCTCCCACGGTCCAAAGATGTGCAGGTTAGGTGGATTGGCCATGCTAAATTGGTAGTGTTCAGGGATTTGTAGATTAGGTAGGTTGTAGGGGGATGGGTCTCGGTGTGGACTTGTTGGGCCAAAGGGCCTGTTTCCACACTGTAGGGATTCTATGAATTTTGTTTGTCCTACCTTTTCCATTCAAGGAAACGTACCTCAACTGTTCCTGAACCGTCTGCTCCTTAAAGATGTCCCATTGTTCAGTTAGTGATCTACCTGCCAACCTCTTATTCCAATCAATCCTGCTCAGCTCTGTTCTTGCCCCACTGAAGACAGGTCTCTGTCAATTAATTTTCTTACTCTGGATTAAGACCATAAGACCATAAGGAATAGGACTGCAGTAGGCAGTTCTGTTCCTTGAATCTGCTCTGCCATTCAAAAGGATCATGGCTGATCCGACATTCCTCATGTGCACTTTACAGTCTTTCCTTTGACTCCCTAACTGATCAAAAATCTCTCAGCCTTAAATATACACAAGGATTGTTAACATTTATGCAAGAATGTATGTCATTTTCCAACACAATCCTGAACCATATAAAACAATGATCACTGTCTCCTTCCTTGTTGGATTGGACACATACTGCTGTATGACACTCTCCCGAACATAATCCAGGAAGACTTGCTGCTCGCTACCTCTTGCACTGGAATATCTCAGTTTATGTTTGGGTAATTGAAGTCCCCATTATAACTGCTCTATAATGTTGGCATATCTCTAATTTCACTGCAGATTTGTTCCGCTACATCCTTCCCACTCGTTGATGCCCTATAGACTACATTGAGCAATGTAATTGCACCCATTTTATTTGTAGCTCTAGCCAAGCTCTCTGTGTCCCTCGGGGCCTCTCAGACATCCTCTTTCTCCAGCACTGCAACGCCCTCCTTAACCAACACAGTGACCCGGCCTCCTTTCCTCTCTTTTCTGAAGTCGTTGTACCCAGGAATATTTAACACTAGTCCTGCCCTTTCTTGAGCCAGGTCTCTTATTACCACAACATCTGTATTTGTAACTCCGCAACATTATTTATTATACTCTGTGTATTCACATACATACATTTCCCCTGTTTGCCCTTTCTTTTGCCCTTACTCTGACTTCATTTATTACCTTAGTATTCTCTATGTTCATGCCAGCTAAGTATTTTTCAAACCCTCGTCTTCTCTTGTTTCAAACACCCCCTGCAAAGTTAGTTTAAAGCCCTCCTGATGGCACCAACAGAACACCTTGCAAGGACCTCAGTCCCAGCGCTGTCAGTGACAGTGCTTTCTGTCAAACCGAGTCTGAAAAATCAGGTAAATTGGGGACTTTTGCTTATTTCTAGAAAATCTTTTAATTTCTGTGATGACTCCGGGAATAGTGAGGTTTGATTTCCAATGCTCAACAATCTTCATAGCCTTTCTTGAATACGGGTGTAACATTTACAATTCTTCAGTCCTCTGGTACCACCTCCAAGAAAGTCAAGAAAAGTATGGCCAGTGCTTTTGCAACTTCTGTTCTCCCTTCCCCCAGTTAGTTGGGTGCATATGGTCCCAGTGCCATATGTGGGACAGTGCCATTTATGGCAGTTCTGAGGAAGGGTCACCGGACCCGAAACATTAACTCTGTTTTCTCCTTCACAGATGCTGCCAGACCTGCTGAGCTTTTCCAGCAACGTTGTTTTTGTGGCCATAAATTCATTGGTTGGTAAGTAACTGCTAATGTGAATACCTTTTTAAATTGCTTTCAGATTAAACATAAATAGGAGAAATGTTTTGCAGATTAAGCAATTAAAGACCAGTAGGATTTTTTTTTAAAAATCTAATTAAATAAAATAGACATGCAGGGCCAGGGGTCTACTGTAGCTGCATGATGTGGAAGCTGGTGGACCCCAGTGTAGTTCTCAGTG